TTGACAAGGTTAACGGTTCTTCGTTTAGCTGACCTCTTTTGTGTCACTCGTCAGTTTTTCAAATGTTTATCCTAAATAATTAATATTTCGTTACTTACTCAAATCTGATTTTTGTTGACGAAGTTAACAAGTATTTTGTTTAAAGTTGACCTTCCTTTACGATATTGTAAAGCAATGCGTCTTGTTTTGAGTAATTGCCCGCTATATGCTGAGTTACCCTTTGTCTGGGTTAAAGTTATGTCTTTTCTGGGTCTGCCATACACTGCTCCCTTACAACATTCTTCAAACTTTCTAATGTTGTTTTAATTTCAAACTTTAATTAACGATAATTTTTATTTTATTAAAATAAAAATTGGTCAGTTATCGCTTCCCCTGGAGAACATTCCACTATTCGGCTCTACAGTCTATTCGAATCAGATTCTATTTCAAGACATATAATATTATAAATAGTTACATGATGATAATGTTATCAGTAAGTGATAAGATGATAGTAAGATATATAATATTTTCACAATTCTTTCATTTCTATTATTAATCAACTAATAAATTTATAAGTAACTATGAATTTAAATAAATTTATAAATATATATGTAAAGTTATATGATATTAATAATGTGACAAATTTTCGACATTAAAAAAAATATCTGATAAAACTGATAATTTTTAACTGATCAATTAACAATATTGTTGGCCATGATGTTATTTATTTCATTCATAAAAATTTTCAAATTTGAAATTATTAGTTATTGTATTGTCCAAATTTGAACAAATAGAAATATTGTAAATTATTTTTCTCACTAAAAATTAATTAAAATTATCTTTCAAAGTTAAACTCTAATTGTTGTAAAAAAGAAAGAAAAACGATGAATTTGTATAGTTGTAATTGAAGATAACCATGATTAAATTTTAAATTCTTCCCTGAGGGAATAAATGTGTTCAGAATTTCGTTTTTTTTTTTTTTTTTTTTTTTTTTTTTTTTGTAAAACCTGGTTTCATTTGTTCAGACCATTACGACTAGAAATTATGATCCAAAATTTAAAAACAAAGAAAAAAAAAAGGAAAAACAGGAAAATAAATAAGGCAACTTAGTAGCTCGAAATTGGAAAAAGAATGAAATCAGGCAAAAAGGAAAAAAAAAATTAAAAAAAAAGAAATAAGTGCAAACAACGATGGATGAGATCATTTCTTATATATATTTTTTAGAGAAAAGGAAAAAAAAAAAAAAAATGTGATATTGATTTTTAATATATTTGTATTTTTTATATTAAAAACTCCAGCAGAATGTTTGATTTATTTTTCATGATGTGATAAATGAATTAAATTACTTAAATTTGATTTTAAAAAAACCGCACAATATTTGAAATAACTTTAGTTAATTGAATTATGGGAAATATTTTATTATTATCATCCAAAAAAAAAAAAACATAAAAAAAACATAAATACAATGTGCTTGCAAAATAAGACGAAAATTCTTTCCAATGCTAATTTGTGCAATTTTTATTATTAAAATGCCATGAGAAGAAAAAAGAAAACACATTCAAAAAGTAGTCAGGAATTGATAAAACCTGAATTCAAGAAAAAAAAAAAATGAGAATCGAGAAAATTAACGTATAATTTTGAATTTACCTATTCTTTATTAACGCAAAAAGTTTTATCATTAATTTTTTACCCATTCTGTAATTTTTTCTTTATTTAGAAGTTAAATTGATTGATTTGATGGATGAAATTAAAATGGATGATATTTAAATCTATTATATACTTTCTGATTAAGTCATCAATGAATAGTAATTTAATATATTATCAAATTTTTCATTAAGTTTTTATTCATTTGTTTATCAGTAAGTTATCAGTAAATAATAATTTCATTAAATACCACTCAGTAAATAATTAAACTAATTTCATTAAAAAATACCTATCGAAATAGGATATGTGTGTGACATAAATGTATAACAACACTAATACTAATGTTTAATAACAATAATTAATAATAGTAATAATAAATAATAATAATAATAACAATAATAATAATAAATAACAATAGTAGTAAATAAGTAAATAATAGATAATAAAATCGGTTATTACATCGAAAGAAAAGGGTTTAAAAAAAAAATTTGAACTAAGAAGAGAAGAAACAATAAAAGAAAATCGAAAATGGAATAAAAATGAAATGTGTAATAAACAAAAATTGATGACATTAAATTCATTTCATTGCATTGCATTACAAAATTGCAATAATCAGTGAGAAGTGATAGTAATATCACTGAAATACTTTTATTAGTAATTAATAATTGTAAAATTAGGGAATAGTAAATTAAAGAGTTTTTTTTTTTTTTGTTAAAGTTTTTGAATTATGAATTAGATAAATGAATTTTTTTTTTTTTTTTAATTTGTTTAATTTTTTTCGTCCAAAAATTTACCGTTACCCGAAGAATCCGAGAAATCATGAAAATGGCTAAAACTTAAAATAAAAATGATTGTAAAATTAAACTAAGATTTTGCAGTAAAACGAGAAAATTTTTTTTTTTTTTCAATTTACTCTCAGAATTTGACCTTTTTTTTTTTCAATTTACTCTCAGAATTTGACCTTTTTTTTTTCAATTTACTCTCAGAATTTGACCTTTTTTTTTTCAATTTACTCTCAGAATTTGACCTTTTTTTTTTCAATTTACTCTCAGAATTTGACCTTTTTTTTTTTCAATTTACTCTCAGAATTTGACCTTTTTTTTTTTTCAATTTACTCTCAGAATTTGACCTTTTTTTTTTCCCTGCGATTCTTTTGTTCATCTACATCGTAACGAATGATAAAGATATTTCTTTTTTAAATATCATTTTCCATCTTATCATCACCTTTTTTAAATTTTCATTTCGTTTTTTTTTTTTTTTTTTTTTTTTTCTTCACTGTATTTTCTTATTCATTTGGTTTTATTTTAAAAATTTTCTAAGGGTAAAAAATTAATTTTGCTGATAATTTTTTGTGAGTGAATGAATTTAATCGTTTTTTTTTTTTTTTTTTTTTACAAAACAATCATCAAATCATTCCTCATTCATTCATTTTGTTAAACAAAAATTAGATGAAAAAAATTATAAATATATTCTTGCTTGTATTATTTATCAATTGGAAACAATTTAACATTGTCACAAAAAAAAATAGAATTAATTAACAATAAGAAAATGATTTTAAAAAGTTTTTTTTTTTTTTTTTCTTGGAATCACTTAAAAATCACTTAAAATTTGAACATTATTAAAATTATACTCAAAAAAGAAAAAAAAAAAACTTTGTAAACAAAAACAAAATATTTAACACATTTATTAGACGTATGTATGTAAAATAATTCATTTATCTTGTAATTTTTATACTAAATAAGCAATTTCTGATTATTGAATTATGGACAGAAAAAAAAAAAAGTTCCATTAAATAATTAATTTATTAAAGTAAAGCAGTTAATATTAATATTTGCTAAATTCATGATTTTATCTTTTCAAATTCTTTATGACAAGAATATTCAATCAATTTATAAAAATATTTAAACTATTTTATTATTTAATAAATTCAAATATATATTAAGTTCGTCAAGTTTAATTTATCAATGCAAAAAAAAAAAAAATTGAAATCCTTTATTAAATAATTTAAATGTAAGTTATTATAATTTTTCTATATTAAAATAATATTATGTATTTATTGTTTATTATGAAAAACAATAAATGTAAATGTAACGTAACGTAACGTAACGTAAACATAACGTAAACATTTATAGCATTAACGTGTATAAAATTAAGAAAACAAAATATTATTTTATATTACTGATACAATTGTTTATCTATTTATTATTAATAATTTGATTAATAATTTTTTATTATTGTTAATAATATATTAATAAATTGATAAATATTGGCATAAAAATTTTTCAATAAATCAACATAATTATATGATATTTATTGTATTTTTAATAATACATAGAATGAATCACTGAAAATAAATTACGAATTTTTTTTTTTTTTTTTTCACAACAAAAAAATTGTAAATTAAGAAAGAAGCAAATATTATAGTGAGAAATAAAACAATTTATAATAATTTCATCCTATGTGAGTACGAAAAAAGATTTATTAATTTTAGAAATTCCAAGAATTACATTAATAATTAATTCTGTTTGCATTAGCTAAAATTATGCATAAAATTTAAAGCTCAAAATTTTTGAATAAAATCTCGAAAAATCATTCAAAATTTAATATCAAAAAAAAATATGTGCATTAACATACATTTTCATTTAAAATGATTGTTACATTCCAATTTTTTTTTTTTTTTTTTTTTTTGAAACTAATTTTTAATAAGAAATTTAGAGCATACGGAATGAATAAATAAATCATAAAAACAATTTCTTAATTCTATTTTTATTTTATAAATGATATTTTTGAAAAGATTATTGTTTTGTTTTTTTTTTTGTTTTTTTTTAATGGATTAGGAAGAGATGAACTAAATAAACAAATACTAAACAAACAAAAATAAAAACTGCTGAAGCAAATTAATTAATTAATTAGAGATATTACAATTATGTCGCATATTTCAACAAAAATACTACTTCAATGAGTTAATTGATTGATTAAATTATAAAACTTTGAAAAATGGAAACAATTGTCATCATAGCATATTTGTTAAGCATTAGTTTTACATAAGAATGAAAGCAATAGAAAGTAGCATTAAATTAAATATTATAATTTTTTTCAAATATTATAATTTTTTCACTTTCATCAAAAAATCCATCCATTCATTCATTTATTAAAATGAAAAAATTAATTTCATGCTTTTAAGAAATTCTCAAAACAAAATGTTGAAATAATAAAATTAAAATATTAAAAATGCATAATTTTTCTCATTGCTATTTTTATTATTCATTACCTCCAATTGTTTTTAAAATTTCATAAATAAATTAAAATTTCAAATTCATATTTGTATAATTTTAATCATTAATTACTACCAATTATAATACTACTGTATACATTATTCATTCGCTTTGATAAAAGCCGCCTGTTTCGAATGTTGTCACCGGTGATTCATTAACATGACGTGTATAGTTTCTTGTTACACCATAATTCTACAAAATACAATAAAAACAAAAAAGAAACAAACTAATTAATTAATTAAACTTTTTACTAATTCTAATTCTATGAATGAAAAATTGAAAAATTTTTTTTTTGATTTTGTCTTTTTTTTTTTTAAATTTTCTAATTTTAAGCAATAATATTAATTATTAAAAAAAAAAAAAAAAAAAAAAGAACAAAAGAAGGAAAACAAAAATTTTCTTTTTAATTAGAAAAGAGAAAGTATTTAGTGAAATAAAAAAAAAAAAAAAAAAAGAAAAGAAGAATGTTAATTGTACTTGATTGGTAATTGAAAATGTTTCACAGTGATCGTCGTAAGATGGATTGATGTATCCATTGTCGCGTGTTAAAAAGAAACGACTCAAATTTAATTGTTGTACATCGTACAGTGTTGCAAGGAATAACATCATACATGATAGGCCAAATATCAAATAAACTAAATTTTTTATTAATTAATTAAAAATATTTGAAAAATTTTTAATTACTAAAAGAAAATATCACGTCAAATAAACTATTATTTTTTTATTAATTAACTATTATTTTTATTTTTTTCTATTATTTTTATTTCAACTATTATTTTTTTTTACTATTTAATTATTAGAAAAAAAACATCGCGGATGGATAGGTCAAATATCAAATAAACTAAATTTTTTATTAATTAATTAAAAATATTTGAAAAATTTTTGGTTGTTAAAAAAAAAAAAAAAAACATCGAATTATCAAATATGTTATTAATTTTTTTGTTTTAGTTACGGTTAAAATTTTTCAGGAAAAAAAAATTTGACAAAAAAGAATTTGAAAATTAAAAAAAGTAAACAAAAAGTATTTGAACCTTTAAAACTTTTAAAGAACAGTTTAAAATTTAAAAAGCAATTTAAAAAATTACATTTTGCGATTTGATGTAAAAGCGTTTCCTTACCTGTCACAACAATTTTATAAAAAGTCCTAAATTGTTGATCAGGTTGATCACCTGGTACATATTCACCTAAAATTCAACAAATATTACTACAATTCTTTGATATATTGCAATTAAAAATTTTTACAACGTGATTCAGGCAAGAAATGATTCAAAGACGAATTTATTTTTTTTTAAAAATTTAAAACTTACCCAAACCGATAGTTGTTAATGAAACAAAGCAATAGAAAAATGCATCCAAGAAATCCCAATCTGTTTCAATTTTCGTAAAAATATACGATGGTATGATAAAAACAAACAATAGTAATAGCGTGCATACAAAAGTAAGATGAAATGCCTAAATTTTGAAAGATTTTAAATTTAAAATTATACCATATTTATAAATTTCAAATTGAAATTTCACTGATAATTTCAGTCACAAAGGTTGTATTAACTACTCAAAAGACATTTATTTACTCAAACCGATAGTTGTCAATAAAATTCAGTTCTTAAATACTATATTAGAGATTTGATTATTCAAAATTACTTGAAAGAAAAAGGAATTATCATTAAAATTAGCATTTATCAAAAATACAAACATTGTGAAAGATAATTTATATTTTAATTAATTATTCAAAAATTGCTAATCTTTTAAAAATTTCAATATTTCATTTACATGTGTGTTGTGTGAATAATTTCGTTAATTAACAAAAAAATTTGTGCAAAATAAAACTGTAAAAAAAAAAACTACCCGTAAAAATCTACCTGAATTTGTGAGTCATGAAACAGATGCCCAAGCCTTGTATTAAGTTTACATCGTAGCCAAACACTTGGCTTTTTTAATCTTACCACTAATGCTGACAATAATGCTAATGTCATTGGTATGCCAATCAGACAATAAATTATCGTAAAAAATTTGCCTTCACGTGTACGTGGTGATACACGTCCATAACCTATGAAAGTGTTAAATAAGTATAATTAAAGTTTATGCATTCATTGCTAATCAAAAGTTAAAAATAAAAATTAAATTAAAATAACAATTTGACGTGAAATGTAAATACTAGAAAATAACACAAACTAATCAAGTAAATTTCTTAAAAAAAAAAAAGAAGGAAAAAAGAATTTATACAAACCAACTGTGCTAATTAAAGCACCAACAAAGAAAAATGCTTGGCCAAAAGTCCATCTAGGCTCAGTTGTTACATTTTTTTCTGTCCAAATACCTTTTAATGCCATTATACGAATATCCGTAAATAATTGATCAATATCGGTTTCTGAAGAAATGATTACCACTCATATGAAATATACGAGAAAATTGAAATATGATTAATAAATCTTTGAATAAAATTTAAATTAGGTTGAAAATTTAACAAATTTTAGCAAAAATTCGAGAAAATTTTTACAATTAAAAATAACTAAAAAAAAAATGCACACTTTACTTTTAATTAAGAAAAAAATAAATAAATAAATAACAAACATATGCGTAAAGAATGTAAGCCATAATTATTTATTTCTATCAATTAAATTAGTTAAAAAAAAAAAAAAAAACAAATAAACAATTTTTAAACTATATTAACTTGCATACCCTTAAATCCTGCTTCTTTTAATAATCGATTCCAATTTGTTCGAAATTCCTGGTATGCTTCCATATCATTTTCCTCATTTGAACTTTCAATTTGTACGAAAACAATAGCGCCAATTAGTAAATAAAAGAAAAGCACTACTAAACCAATTGCAAGTCGAACATTTGTTTCACGAATTTGCCATGGTGATGCTTCAATTCGATCAATCACCTGTGCAAAAAGCAGAAAAAAAAAAGTTATATTTTAAATTTATAAATAAATTTTCAAATTTTAAATTTGTTTAATTTAGCTATGAGCAATTTTAAACCTAAAACATTCGTTTTTCATTTTGAATATATACATATAATTTATTATTTATATTATCATATATTTATTATCTGTAATATTAATTAGTAATTTTTTTTAAAAAAAAAGAGGAAATAAAATAAAAAACAAAAGTTAATGTTTCAAATTTATAAAAAAAAATTTCAAATTTTAAATTTGTTTAAACTGCGAACAGTTTCAAACTTAAACATTTCCTCTAATAGTGTAAAGTATAATTTGCAAATTTGTTTAATTTCAAAAAATAAACCTTATTCTGCAATTGGAACATTTGAAGACCCATAATTTTGTTATATCCTTTAAAAAAACTTTTTTTTTTCCCTTTCACTCTGCAAGTAAAAACGATGAAATCATTGCATTTAAATGCAAAAAAAAAGGAAATAAAATAAAAAAACGAAAATTATGTTTACAAATTTATAAACAAAATTAATATAATCATTTAATCATACTTAATTACATATTTAATTATAAAATAAAAATTCACTATTAATATTAATAATCATAATTTTCCTCTATATATTTCATTTCAAATAACAACATTCAATTACAAATATTACATATCAAAATTAAATGTAAATGCATGCATGTACACAAGTAATTAAATAAACTTGAAAAATTAAAATGATGATTTAATTAATTTGAAACAATAAAAAAAAAGCAGAGAAAAAAAAAAAGAAATTCAAAAGTTTCAAGGAAAAAGGAAGAAAAATTACAAATACTTTCTCATTCATTTAATACTAAAAAGACAAAGTCTAAAACATTTTAATGATTTAAGGCCTAGCAACAAGAGAAATTTAAATTTTTCATCGATAGTTCTGGGTTTTTTTGTGTATTCGACAAATATATGTCAATGAAAAATTTTGGAAAGGAAAAAAAAAAAAAAAAAAAAAAGTGAAAGAAATTCATTTTGGTTGATATATTCATTTCATTGATTTCATTTTTTTATTTCTATTTTTTCATTTTTATTTTTTATTTTTTGTTTTTTGTTTTTTTTTTTTTTTTTTTTTTTGTTTTTTGATAGAATACAAAGTGCGCAACAAACTTTAGGCATAACTAATCGTTTTTGAAAAGATATATGTTATTATGATGATGATGATGGTGGTGGTGGTGTAAGGTCTAAAATTGAAATTTTTGAATTTCCTATGGAAATAGATAAAAAAGAAAGAGGGAGAGAGAGAGAGAGAGAGAGAGAGAAATACGGAAGGAGAGAAATTATAAGAGTTTTGTTGAATGTAAAATGAAACGAATAAATAAAAAGAAACAAATGGATTAAGAAATTAAAATAGGTAAAAAAAATGAATGGATAAATAAACAAATAAGTAAGTAAATAAATAAATTAGTCCAGTAAATAAGCAAATAAGTAAAAGAAAAGTAAGAAGTGTAAAAAGAGGAAAATTTAGTGATTTAATATTAAAAATCCATTTATCGTTTTCTTCTCTTTGATATAGATTTTATTTAAATTTTTGCAATTACAAATAGAAAAAAGAAAATTGTAAAACTTTTTCGGATGCAATTGTATTTTCAGATGTTAAAATTGTATAAATTGCAATTTTAAAACTTTATAATATATTTGAAAAAGAGAAAAAAAAGATAGAAGAAAAAAAAAAAAAAAAACTGAAACTTTTTTCAGGAAAGTCTTTTAGGAAGGAACTAAAAGCTAATCGGAAAGTAAATATATTTGTTGATTTTATTTTCTTAAAATATGTTTTTATTTTTTAACGGTTTATTCCTTTCTGAAATTTTTAAACGATAAAATATGCTAATAAGTTTTGCTAAAATTCCATGTTTAAATTTCACATTAAAATTTAATCATTGTAAATTTTTTGTGACATAAAATAAGAACAAAAAAATATTACTCAATTGAATGTACAATATTGAAATTTTAAATTGCCTATCATAATCAAAAATAATTTAATAGAGAATTGAAATGATAAAATAATATAAAAATAGCTATGAACAATGATGCTAAGAGGAAATTTAAAAAGAGATGAAAATTGGAATGATAGATAAGTATGTATGTTGTAATTGAATTGCCCACTACTTCACCTCAAAATAAACAATTGATTACGTCAGTGTTAGCCAAAAGCAAAATTTATTTTATTTTTGACTGATTAGCATTCAACTTTTAGCAATAATTATAATAAATACAAAAAGATAAAATGAAGAAATTTTTGATAAAATTGAAAATTTTTCTAATTAGAAAATTATTTTTTAATTAGTTCAAAAGCAAAAAAAAAAAAAAAAAAAAAAAAAAGAATCTAACATAAATATGATTGAATATTTTTAGTATATAATTGTTAAATTAAAAAAAAAAAAAACGAAAATTTTTTTTTTTTTTTTTGGAATATTCAGAATATCTAGTAGAAAGTATTTTGCGAGTGAAAAATTATCTAAAATATATTAATGTAGCATAATATTATTTTGAATATTTGTTGAAAAAAAAAATTATTCCAAATATTTCTAAAGAGAATTATCCGGATTTCAGGACTCTCAGGAATATTTCAGATTAGATTTCAGGTTATCCGATAGCAAAGGAAATATTCCAAATATTTCCATAAACAAAAGATAGACATTCCTGTAATATTTCTAATGGAAACTACTCAATTTACATCAAATAAGTAAAACGATTGATTGTCTAATGTTCATTACATGGCACATTAATCATTCACTAGGCTAATCATCTATTTGGCCATAGGGCCATATGAAGCAATTTGTTATTTCTTTTCCATACAAATTATTCGAGACAAAACTCGAAGATTATCTAAAAGTTCAAATTTATGCAATTTAAAATTTAATAAGCTTTCTTTAATTTTGCCAATTTAAACAAAAAAGAAAAAATCCATTTTATTTTCTTATTTCACAATTTCTCATTCAAAATATAATTAATTTTTTCATTTTATCATTTCGTCATTTTTTTTTCTTTTCAAAAAAAAAAAAAAAAAAAAATCCAATTTAAAAAATAAAAAAAAGACGAAAACAACTTATCACATAACAAATTATTTAAATTTTTTCAATTAGTATATTATCGAACCAAATTATTAAGAGATTTTTCTACTTTTACTTTCTTTTTATAAATGATTTTAGCTAAGAAAAAAAAGAGATGAATAGTGATTGTGAGAAATGTAAAGAAAAATAGAAATTGTAATTTAATTTAAAATTTGAAACTAAAATTCATTGATTATAATAGCAATTCACCAATTACAAATATGAAGACTCAGATGATTTAGGTGCAAAGGTCAAATTTTACTTTGTTTTTTCAAGTAATTTCTTATCAGTTGGATTAACATTGGTATCTTATTGTGGTGAGTAATCGTTTGAAAAATTTTAAAAAAGATTTTTAAAAGAAATTTAAGTACAAAAGATGCAACATTAATAGCTCATAGGTTATCAAAACAAAAAAAAAAAATATATCTTTGAAAAAGAAGTATAAAAAAAAATTTTTTCCGTCTGTAATTTAAACAAAAAAGTTTTTTTTTATTTTAACAAAGTTCCCTAACAATGAAAAAAACATTATTGAACAAAAATTAAAATGAAAAATTAAATATTTTTATTGAAAAAAAAAAAAAAAAAGAATAATAATTTACTAATAATTAACATTTTCAAATTATTTCAAATTAAAAAAACCATTTTAAAATATTTTTTTAATGCATATTTGCTAAAAAAAAAAATTTTCCACAAAAGTATTACTTAACAAATAATAAATAACTGACTGAAATATTAATTCAAATAAAAAAATACATTATTTTATCACAGAATAATGATAAAAATTTTCTTTTAAAATGACAATAAAAATTGTTCAAAAAATTTTTCATATTTCAAAATTTCTTTTTCAAATTTCCGAACAAAAAATTCACAGATTTCAAAAAAAAAGAAAAAGAAAAAAAGACAATGAAAGGAAATTATATTAAATCATAACATTTGTAAAAAGTTAAAAAAAAAAAAAAAGAAAAAAAATTTTTTCCTTTTATTTTAAACCTTTTAGTTAGATATAAAATATAAATATAAATATATATATGAGATGCTTTTTGCTATTTGAAATATTATCCCACTGAGAATTAAAAGCGATCATTTTCATCTTATGCTCCTATTGCTATGATTACATTTTGCGCCAACTAAATCAATCATCTTTTTTCTCTCCTTTCATTCTTCTCTCTTTTACATTCCAAAAATCTCTCCTCTCCTCTCTCTCTCTCTTTCCCTTCAGACAACAACAACAACAACAACAACAAAAATATGACAAATTTTAAATTAGATATTCCAATTTAAATATGAAAGAATTCTTTCTTCGTCTTATACAAACTAATTTACAAATTATGATTGATCCAATAATTATTTTTTACCATTTCAAAATTATACCTAAAAATTTTGATAAATTTTAAATTAGATAATTAAATTTAAATGAATATAAGCTTTTCTCGTTACACTTTACATACTTTAATTTATATCATACAACAATTAATTTTTAATAAGTTTGTTTGAATTAATTTTAATTTATATTTGTAATGAGTATGTAATATAAATTGTAATCAACAAAAGTTATAAAAATTAGCAATGGAAAAATTAATAATAATTTTAATAAATTAAGGTAAACAATTTATTATTTAATTAATGCATAATTATTTTAATAAAAGTATAATTTATAATAGAAGAAATTTTTCATATGGAAATTAAAAAGAATGGAAAAAGAAAGAACAAGGAGAATATGCAAGTAGAAATTTTGAAATTTAATTCTTTTTTTTACCTGGAATTTTTCTAAAAAAAAAAAAAAAGAAAAAACTTCTATCTTAAAAAGATTTTTTCTCTTTTTAATTTTTTGAATAACTTAAAAATAAAACTTATAAGTTTGGCAAAAAAAAAAAAAAAAAGAATGCAAATAATTCGTACGAAAAAATATTATAATTAAATAAAATAACATTAATAAATGGTAATTATTATTCGCTGAAAAAAAACTTTGAAGTAAATAAAAAAAATAATTTTTGTTAAAATGATTCATAAATTTTTGCTCAATTTTTCACTTCTATTTGCTATTTAAAAAATTTTCAATGTCAGATAGAAATAAATCAATAAATGTAAAAATAAATAAAAGAAGTTAAAGTGCTTTTGTCTCAAATACTTTTGTCCACAATTTGATGGCATATTTGCGCATATTCCATATCTAATATCTCTCTTTGAAACTTTTTCCTTTTTTTTTTTTTTTTTCATTTTTATTTTTTGTTTGTTTTCTTTTTTTAATTCCTATTGATATTTTTTTGTTCACATTTTAAAATCTTACATAAATACACAAATGTATGCAAAAAAAAAATTTCTATAGTTTCTTTTTTGATACAAGAAAAAAAGGGAAAATAAAAGTTAATTTTAGAAAATTGAAAAAAAAAAAAGGAAGAAAAAATAAAAAGTTAATTGATTTTTTCTATTCAAAATTCAACTTCAAAACATAATATATAAATGAATGATTTCTCCTTATGATTTGTTCCTTTTTTCTTTTTCTTTCTTTATTTATTTATTTACTTTTTTTTTTGTTTACTTCATTTTTTTTTTTTTTGTTTACTTAATAAGAATACGCTTTTTTTATTAACCTTAAAAAGTTAAATAAATCATATTGAAGTTTTTATTTCACACTTTTGTTTCCCTTTTTTACATGCTATAAAATAAAAATTTTATGAGGTATTCCCCCCCCCCAAAAAAAAAAAAATATGAAATGCCTAATTTAAAACGGATTTTATTCATTCTCAGAAATATTTTTCTTGCTTCTAATCAAATGAATTTTAAATTGTTTCAACGAAATATTTGTTTTATATGAATAGATTATATGAGAGTAATATTATTGCTTAGAAAAAAAAAAAAAAAGAGGAAAGAATAGAAATAATTTTGAATAAAAATAAGAAATAAAGAAGAAAAAGATATGGAATTAATAAAATTCATGAAAATTTAAAATTATTAAAATTATCAAAGTATTCAAATACATTTATTGATTTATACAATTAGTCATTTAATTAGCAATGATAATAAAAATAAAAATAGACGAAAAAATATTACATAATATGGAAAAAAAAAAGGTAGAAAATTATAATTTCAAACTATAAATGATATTAATGATAAACAAATTTAGAGAAGCTAGTCAAAAGCACCAAAAAATTTCCAACATGTGATTGATTAGAATGATAATTTACTGATGATGAAGAAATTTAAAAAAAAAAAAAATATTTTTTAACTCCTCAATTCTTTTCTCTCTCTCTCCCTCTCTCTCTTCATAATAATTTCTTATGATAATCTCTCTTTCTCCCTTTCTATCCATCTCGCCTTTTTCATTTCCTGATAGAAATATTTGAAATATGATAATTAAATTTATTGAAATAGGCTAATAATATGAAGCAGTTGACATTTTGCTATCTAAGAAAGTTTCAAGTTTAATTTTCTCTTCTTCATCATCAAATTTATCATTGAAATTTTATTACTTTTTTCTTTTTTCAATTCAATTTACTATGTATTGAAGCTAAACAAACAAAAGCAAAAAAAAAAAATTAATGAAAAAGAAACACAAAAAATTTTTTACTAATAATTTTGAAAAATAAAAAAAATTTTAATTTGTTAAATTACTAATAATAATTTATTAAATTAAAATTAGAAAATAAAAATTATGTGATTTTTTTGCAAAAACAGTAAAAAATTTTTGCAGAACAATACAAAAACATTTATATATTTTCTTCTTTTGTTTTTCCTTTAACAAAATTCTTATGAAATTTTGTAATTAAAAAAGAATTTGACATTATGCTATCTAACAAAGTTTCAAGTTTAATTTTATAAATAATAAGTAAATTAATTAATCAATTAATAATTTATTAAATATTAAAAAAATAAACAAACGAATAAACAAATAAATAAATTTACATTAATAGCATATGGAGATGGAAACCAAAAAGCTATCGCACCATTTATTTTTCATCTCATTTCAAATTAAATTTCAATCCCATTTCAATTTAAAATTTTTAATGCAATGTATATTAGATGCACTATTTTTAATGATTAATTTGATTAAATTGCTAACAGAAACGGGTTGAAGTGTCATAGCAAAAATAATTTTAAAAATAAATGAATAAATAAATACATGTCAAAAGTAAGTGAACAAATGGACAGATAAATAAATAAATACATATATATAAACTAATCAAAAATAATAAATAAATAAATGTTAACAATAAGCAAACTAATATGTAAGTAAACAAGTAAACAAATAAATAAATGAAAAACAGTTTGCTAAAAGGATTGCATTTACTTGCTACCAAATGTTTAAAAAATAAATTAATAAGCCACTAAATAGCCTCAGAAAATAATAAAATCTAAACAAATAAATTACTAAATAACTTAACAAACAAATAAATTAATTAAAGAAATGAATAAGCAAACAAATAAATAAGAACAGATTGTTAAATGGATTGCATAGAAATATCTGTACCAAAATATTTCAAAAAATAAATTAACAAAAATAAATAATGAATGAAGAAACAAATAAACAACTTAATTTATCTACTAAATTATTAATTAAAAAAAATTAATTAATTAATAAAATAAGTAAATAGATAAACAGATGAATAAACAAATAAACAAATAAATAAATAAATTGACTAATTAAACATTAGTTTTTCACACATATTTTGTTTGATAAATTAGATTGAAAGATAAAAAAAAAAAAATACGGATGTATTTATGATGATATCATTCTTTTTTTTTCAATTTACAAATGCAGAAAGAATGAAAAAAAAAAAAAAAGATTTGAAGAAAGAAAGACGGAAAAGATTTAAAAATTAGAAAAAAAAAATATTTTTTTAAATTTAAGCGAAAAAAAAAATTGGAGAAAAAACTTTTTTCCATCGCTTATGCAATTGCAAATTTGTAAAAATAAAAGGAAGAAAAAAAGTGAAATTAGAGAGAGAAAAGACAGTTTAAAATTCATTTATCCTTTTCATTTCATTCAATTCACTTTCTCATCTTTCTCTCTCTCTCTCTCTCTCCCTCTCTCTCTCCTTCTTCTTCCCTTTCCTCCTTTTTTTTTTACAAATTCTGTACTTCAAATTTTTTTTTCCTTCCTTTTACTTTCATTTTCGTATTTTAAGAATTAATCGTTTATCTTTTCTTTTCTTTTCTTTTTCCCTTTCTTTCTTTCTCTCTCTCTCTCTCTTTCTCTCTTTCTTTTCTTTTTTTTTTACTTTTGTTTGTTTCCTATTTTTTTCCCTCGGATTATTATTTGAGAAAAATAAGCACTATGAATTATTATATCACATTAAAATTCATATATTAGATTGTTATTTGCAATAAAAGAAAAAATAAAAGAAGGAAAAGGGAAAGAGAGAGAGAGAGAGAGAGAGAGTGAAAGAAAGAAAGAAAGAAAAAATGTGAAAGTGAGTTTTTTTTATAGGTTTTATTTATTTTTGCGAGAGAATTTCTCTTTGAATTTTTATCTTTAAAAAGAAAAACTATTATTATTTAATAAATTATAAGAAAGAAGAAAGAAAAATTTATTAATTTTTTCTTCTCAATTTTTACCATAATATTTGCTTCGATAATAATTTTATTAAATTTGATCAATTAATTAGTATTAAATTGACTAAAGTAAATAAAATATATATCAAATCGGAAATTTTAACTTTCAAATCATAAATACTAGTTCAAATTTTTCTTTTTTTTTTTTTGCATTATAATTATTATTGTATCATTTATTGTTTTATTGAATTAAATTTATAAATAATTTTTGTGATATGCATAATTTCTGATTTTCTTTTAAATTATTTCATTTCCTTACTTTAAAATCTTTTGCACATTCTTGCATGTTTGCATTCATTTTAATATATTTAATTAATACACAAAAAGTTATAACTTAATTTAGAAACTGTAATATTAAAATGTAAATTGAATAGAATTCGATATTTTTGATTTATTTTTTATTTCCTACTTAGCAATATATCCTTGAAATAAGCTTCATTAATGAATATTATAATTTGCCCATTCTAATCATTTTCATTCTTTTTTTTTTTCTTTATTAAATTTCAAGGTCATACCTCTTCAATTTTCAATTTGAATTTAAAATTGTTTGTTTTTTTTTTTTTTTTTTGCTAAAACTGTTTTATTTCAAAAAACATGTTAATTCTACTTTATCCAAAAAGTAATCATTGTTAATCGAATTACGTTGCAAATTTTTAACTTATTTTTATTGATTTGATTGAATTTTTACTTTTGTTATAACCAAACTTATTTCATGCAAAATTTATAAAATCAAATCATTTTTCTTTTTTTTTTTTTTTCTTGGTGTTGATGTAAGAATTTTTTGGATATTCTTTTTAAAAAAAAAAAAAAAAAAAAAATTCTTTTTTAATTTTTTGTTGGTATAGTTGTTACTTTCATATATCATCGAGCAAACACAAGAATTGGCGCAATTATCCGGTTATTCAGTGAAATGCATCTATTTATCAATAATGAATAATGACATATTGGCTAGTAATATTTATTTCATTTAAGCCTGTCTCTATAATATCTAGCTAGCAGATTTAAATTTATTTAAATTTAATTCATTTCAATACTTCAAAACATTCAGTATTATATACAGCTAACACAAATATATATCTAATATCATTTTTTACAGTTTTTTTTTTTTTTTTCTTCTTTTATTTAAAACTTTAAATAACAAATATTAAACTATGATAATATTGAAGTAATTAAATTAGCCATCAATTTATCAAACATATTGTAATATATAGTAATAATTCAAATATTTGAAAAATGAAATATTGATTTGTAATATTTCTTAAAAAAAAAAAAAAAAAAAAAAAAAAAGCATTGAAAAGATTATCGTTTACTTTCTAGTAAATGATGAATTTCTTCTGCACTACGATTACGAGTTTCTGGCATGTAATAATAAATGGAAAATGTTGTAATTATTAGAGGAATGATGAAAATTAGAAAACTAAGTGGTCCAATTAATTCCTCTAATGGTAAATATATTATTGGACACAGGAAACAGGTGATATACTGCGCCGAAATGGACAATGATTGTAGTTGAGCACGACAATATGGCTCGGCTAATTCGGTAGCAATAAACCATGCAACTGGACCAATACCAATACTAAAAAAAAAATTAAATGAAATTGAAATTTAAAAATACTAAAAAAGCATTCATCGTATGTAATTTTTTAATCATAAATAATAATTAAAAGATAAATGTATTCATTAATTTAACCGAATTTATTGATTTAAAAAAAAATAATAATAATAATAATATAATACTAGTATTTAAGATATTATTTTAAATTACAGCGAAAATGATAATAAATAATTTTGAAATTCTAGGATTGTAGTAAGTCAATGCTTTAGGTTACACATAAAAAAAAACAATAATAATAGTAATAATTTATTTTATGGTATAAGACTGGAAATCAATTAATTTGTATCATTTTTATCTTGTCTAAATGAATGAAAATAGAAACCTAAAAGAGAATAGGAATAATGCGAAGAGAAGAAGGAAGCAATAGCCAAGCCAAGAGTAATGATATTGGCCAAAGGCCCATACGAGTATCATCATTCCCATATTTATCAATATTAAACTTATTAAACTTCCAAGAAGTAAAAAACGGCGTCCAATCTAAACGAAAAATAAGGGAAAATATTTTTCTTTATTAATTATTCTAAAATATTTAAGAAAAAAAGAATGAGTAATAATTAGAAATTTTTTAATTATCAATTAATATTATTGAATAATTGAATAATAGTTATTATTTGTTAAAGGAAATGCAAAATTAATTATTGTTTACAAAATTTATACAATTAACTCATTTCATTTATTAATTAAAATTAAAATTAAAAAAAAAAAAAGAAAAATTTCGAAACTAACTTTATCAATTGTAATAGCTTGTATAACAATTCCAACGGTACCAGATAGTCCTGCAAGACAATTTGCTAATGACGCAGTAGTTGAGGTGAAACCAATAGCGCCAAGAAGAGCTGTGCCAAAAAATACCATCGCCATTATACCACAAAAACTTACCGTACAATTTAAAAGTATTGAGAGAAATAATGCTCGGCGAGTTGCTCTAAAATAAAAAAATATAAAATAATGATAATAAAAAAGTAACATTTAATCGAAATAAATATAATCTATCAATTTTAAAATTAAATTTTTTTTTTTTAAAAAGAAAAAGAACAAAAATAAAAATCGTTCAATTATGCTATATTTTAATAATATTATTACTATTATTACTTTAGCATATTAAGTATAACTGATAAGATATGATATAAAATTGCAAATGATATAAAATATCATTTGCAATATTAAGTACGACTGATAAGATATGATATAAAATATCATCTGCAATATTAAGTACGACTGATAAGATATGATATAAAATATCATTTGCAATATTAAGTACGACTGATAAGATATGATATAAAATATCATTTGCAATATTAAGTACGACTGATAAGATATGATATAAAATATCATTTGCAATATTAAGTATGACTGATAAGATATGATATAAAATATCATTTGCAATATTAAGTACGACTGATAAGATATGATATAAATGTCATTTTTAGTTTTTCATTCCATTTTTTAATTAAAAAAAAAAAATTTAAATCCATTCAAATGTTACAATATCATTCTTCTTTCTTTTTTTCTGCTTATTAGAGCAGAAGATGTTTCTATTTCAAATAAAAACACAATAATAGCATATGAATGATTAATTTATAATTTTGTCAACAATCAAATCAATTCTGATTAAAGATTAAAGATTATAATAAATTAAAAGAAATAAAAACCTATCATTGCAAAATTTCATCCAATTAATAATATTTTTGACACTTTTCTTTTCGTTATTATTTTTTTGTTGTATTTTCAATCGTTCCATTTCCTCATCTATTTGACGATCATTTTTCCAATTATTGTAAAATTGAATTGATTCTTTTGCCGCATTTTCATTCATTTGTTTCAGAAAATATAATGGACTTTCATGTAGGATAAAAATTGCATAACAAATAAGCATTAAGCACGGAATCATTTCCATAAAATAGCCATAAGGCCATAAATTTTTAGTGCCAAAAATTTGTGGCATACCAATCATTGATGCTAGCAATGCACCAATATTAGTCGATAGGCCAGTTAATGTGCCCATTAGGCCACGAAAACAAACTGTAATAATTGCAAAAACTAAAATTTAAAAATAAAAATTGATAAATTAAATGACAAAGATGATATGATATGATGAAATGAAATAAAGATTAATATTCAATGATATTAAAATAATAACAAAAATTTAATGTTTAAAAAATATTTTTAGTAATTTTGGAAATTTTGGTAAAACTTTAAGGAATATATATTGTATTAACAATGAACAAATTATCTCTTTATAATATTTGTTTGAAAATAATTTATACAATATTTAAAATTTTTAAATTTTATGATTAGGATGAAAAAGAAAGCAATATCTTTGATTGAAAGACTTTTCCTATTTTTTTTTGTTTTTTTTTTTTTGAATAAAGAAGTTTTATTTATTTCGAGATATGCAAAATTATTTTACAACAAATATAATTAGTCGGAAAATAAAATGAAATTCAACATCCGATAGTCTTTGATGATAATATTTTCAGCAATCAAAGAAATATATTTCGTCTTTTGAACTAGAAATTAAATTTTAAACCATAAATTGCTATTTAATTATTAGAGATTAAAATATGAAGAAAATAGCTAACAAATTACATAATTGAATGAAATAGTATTTAAAATATATCACATACATATTTCTATATTAAATGATGGATTTTAATAATTAAAATATGTTACAAATAATTTTAATTAAATTACCTGGACTAATTTCAGTTAAGAATACACCTTGTACAGTAGTATACATTCCAACACAAATGCCAACAAACAATCGTGAAAGAATGAATAATTCCGCAATATTTGTATATTGTGATAAGGGTGAAAAGAAAATAGCAATAATCATTAACTGAAATTAATAATTTTATAGCAATAAATTTTTATTAGTAAAAAAATTTTAATTGTTTTTTTTAAAAAAATTTTTTGTGGAATTTCATTGGTAAAAAATTTTTAATTAAATAAAACAATGCTAATTATATTAAAATTTATGTCACTACCATATCAAAAAGTTATTTTTATTAAAAACTAAAAACTAATTTTTCATGTAATTATAAAAATAAATTAATATAAAATGACTGAAATTAATGAATAATAAAAATGCAATGGTTAAAAATTTAATGTCAAAATTTCCGATCACTAATGCTATTAAATAATTGATAATTAATTATATCAGTGAGTAAATTCCGGAATATCATAAAAGTCAGGAAAATAATATATTTAGAATAATTCATATTTGATCTATAATCTATCCAAAAATTATTGTATAAATTAAAAAGAAAAGTTTCGGAATATATTACTTTCTAAGCTTCTTAAAATAGGATGTCCGTAACATATTGAATGAATATTTATGTAATCGGTCAGTTTCTTTTTTTTTTTGAATATTAATAACAAAATATTAACTTTCATTTCCGGTAGCCAATTCAGTAATTCCGGAATGTGATAAAGATCTAATAGCATATTTTGCTTAATTGCTTATTTTCAGAAATGGTAATAAAAAATGAAAAATAAACTAACAAATGCAATAATCACAAATGACCATCGTGAACCAATGCGATTAATGACCGCTGGTATTACTGTAGCACCGATAATCGCTCCAATGAAAAAAATGCCAGCGACGAATGACCAAAATAACCGGATTGATAATTCGGAAAATTTGATATCATAACGACTGCAAGTGATAATAGATATGATAAAATAATTATGAAAGTATTGAAGTGATTTTTAAATTTTAATAAATATAATTTGTGGTTTTTTTTTTAAAAAAATTTGATAAGTTTTGATGATGGAATGTATTGTAACTTTAATTTGATAAAAGTGTAATTTGAGAGTAAATTAAATTCCATAAATATTTTGATAAGAAAATTTTGATAAGTTTAATTTAAAAATTTAATTTAAAATTAATCTAATAAACATTTTGATTGGAAAATAATAAGTAAAAGCACTAACAATTTGACAAGAAAAAAATTAATAATCTCGAATCAAAAAGCTGGTTTGAATTAATTCAACAAATTACAGACAACTAATTTTAAATGGCCTTTAACCAATTTCATTTTGATAGTATCATCTTCAAGTGGTCAACATTTAGAAGCACTTATTTTGACAAGTAAATTTGACAAAATTAGAAATATTTTAATTTTCGGAAAATTGTCAAAGTTTTGAGCTTAAACAATAATTGAAAATCTTAATTTAATCATTTAATATTAATTAATATATTATCAATTTCATTTCATAGCAAAATTTTATCTTATAAAATGAGAAAAACTAATATTAAAGATCAGACAACCTTTCTAAAGATTGTGCCAGAAATTGTTGCAATGGTTTACCCATTGGATTAATGATTGATACTTGAAAACCAAAATTAAATCCACCTCCAAGTACCACAAAAATTCCAGTAATAAGAAGTTTTGCTGTTGGAAAGAGCATTTCTAGAAAATTTTTTTTTTTTTTTTTTAGCTTCTTTGTTTTATATTTTTGGCAAAAATTTAAATCATTTCGATTATAAAATAAAATATATTTGATATATATTATATTTTATGTGGTATGTGTTATTGCTACTAAAAATTAATAAAATAAAAACATTTTTAATAAACATCAAACTGCATTATTAATATTTAAACATTTATTAACTAATAAATGCTAACTTGAAATCTTTAAATAACAAGTATTTAAAATGCTAAAATTTGAATTATAACAATCATAAAATTATGAATTGGTTAAGTAAATTGAAATAAGAATACAATTTTAAGTTAATTAAACTGTAATTAGTTTCAAGGCAATGGAACATTGAAGCAGTATTAATTCAACAAATGCTAAGAAGCTATGAATTTAATTTTTTTTTTTTTATATTGAAGTAAAAGTAGCAGCTGCAAGTTAAGAAAGTTATTAGAGGTATGAAAATTTAAAAATGCTCTATTCATTATTTTTAGGAATATTATTTATTAATTTGACTGATTTAATTCTCATAATCTGTAAATTTTTTTCAAATTTAATTTCAGTGTAATAAGTTCGAATTATTGTAATTATCTTTTGTTGAAAAAAGAATAATTGATGACTGCAAAAAAGAATGAATGGAAATGAAAAACTTCATTAATTGAATTGTAGTCAGAAAAAATTAAAATAAATGGAGAGAATAAAATTGGAAGAAAACAAAAAAAAAAAAAAAAAAAGAAACAAACAAACAAACAAATAAGCATTTTTAATGTTTATTTGTTTTTGGTTTTTCACTTGATTTAAGGATTAAAATTTTGACAATCTTTAAAATTCTCTCAGCAGAAAATGCAAATAATTTATTGACTTAAAAGCTTAATATATATAAATAAGTTAATTCCACTAAGAGGGATAAATATAAAGCAAAAAATAATGAACTAATTTAAAATTTAAGATTTTCAAGTAGTTTGGGAAAAATGAGATTTTTAAGTAGTTTAAACAAAATATGCCAATTATTTCGTTAATTTCTTACTTAATTCCTACTATCTCATTTCGAATAGTTTATCCTTTGAAAGAAGAAGAAAAGATTTACAAATTATGCTGAAAAAAAAAAATGTTTTAAATTGTTAAACTCAAAAAAGAAATGTGAAAAATTATAGTAATCATCATAAACACATTAATAATTACAACTTGTTGCAATTAATTTTTTCATTTGAGGCAAACGTAAATGTTTGACATGTATTATTTTAAATTAGTTAGACTTTAAAAATTTTAAATTTCATTAAAAAAAAATATTTTTTGTTAATTTGATTACAAAACAAGAATAGTAATTGAATCATGATTAAATTTCCATTAAAATCAAAGTTTTTTTCAAAAAAATATCTGAGAAGAATAATAGTTGAAAGGATGAAATAAAAACAGAAATGATAAGAGATAAATTGATAAATGCATTAGAGGAAATGTTTGTATGTGGTTTAATATAAATGATATTTAGTTAGTGATATATGCATATTTGCATTTCATTAGAATAAATGATTACATTAAGGAGTTAAAAAGAGGAGAAAAATTATGGGAAGATGCTAACATAGATTTGAAGCACTGATAACGTAATATAATATTGATAATACCGTAATCACACACTAAATATTCATCTGAAGAGGGGAAGATTTATGATAACATATAATTTAATTTAATTATATATATATATATATATATATCAATAATTTAATTTAATAATTAATAATAATTCATAACAATAATGATAATAATAATAATAATAATGATAATGATAATGATAATAACAATAATAATAATAATAATAATAATAATAATAGTTAATTAAGTAGAAATTCGAGTCATATTATTCATACTTTTCCTTCTTTAATACAATCATTACCAGTCAAACATTAAAAATCCACTAATTACCAAACTATTACCAACATTTATCTTTTATCAAATGTAATTTTTTTTATCAAATGTAATGTAACATTTATCAAACGTTAAAAGAATCCATTAATTACTAAACTATTACCAACAAAAGAAATATTATAAATTTCCAGAACTGAAATTAAACTATTTTCATCTTATATTTAATCTATTTAAATAACAACTATCCTAGCAATATCAATCATCAATCAATTATTTATCGATAAGTTCCCCTTTACTAGCTTAATGATTGACCATATCATTTCACTAACTTTTCTTTCTCATAGTTAAAATTCAAAAAAGCATGATAAGATAAAGCTTAAAATGAAAAGTATAAAATTTCAACTTTATTTTATTCTTAAATGTCTTTTTTTTTTTTTTTTGGTTAGTATGGTTAGTACTCATTTCGCTATAAAAAAGGAAATGAGTGGAATAATCAGCCAACTATAATCATAATTTAATATTAAACTGAATATTTTCTCGGATATAAAATGAATTTGCATTGATATCTGAACTCCTTTAGTGCATATCTCAAGAAATTTATTGACAACAAATAAAAATTCAATACTGTGTCTGCGTATATTATTATATCATTGCAATAGTATTATGCTGTGTAACTTTTGACTTTAATTTTTTGGATGTTTTTTTTTTTTTTTAGTGTGTGAAAGTCCGAATTTTTATCAATCTTTTTACCGGATCACAGTAACAAAGTCACAAATTAACAACAAAAGAAACAAAAAAATTAATAAAATGGTGAGTCAAGAAAAATACCATTTTTCGATTCATTTACCATTCTCGAAATTACGGAATTTTAACTAGTTTTTATCTCAACGCATGCATAAATTGACTTTGAAATGGGTCTCCACAAATTAGAGAACATTTCCGTTTTCTATTTTTACCAAAAAAAACTGATGGACAAAAAATAGGTTTTTAAAATTTCAGTAAGAAATAAGCCGTAAATACCAATCCCGGAATATAAGCCAAACAATAACAACAGATGCATATCATCGAGTTTGCAGTAATGGAAAACAAATACATAATGATGAAACATTGCTGAGAGAGTTAGATTACATCACATCCGGTACAACACCACTTTTAAATTCTTTATAAATATTCAACAACCAATTTGGAGTTCGCGGCATAATCTCCTTCAATGCCTGACTGAAAAATTGATGGAATTTTTGAGAAACACTCATAAAATGATTTTTCTACATATTGCAAGTTGGATTAAAGATTATATCTATATAAAAATCATACGAAAGATCATAAGAAGATCATATCTAATTTTATTGAAGAATTTGAAAAGAGCAGATAAAATTACTGAAAATGTCGAAATTCAAGTCTGTTAGCATCTCTATTCTCGAGCAATGCTTCGCGTACGGCTTGATCACACAGCTCAACCACTTCGGCACCAGAGAATCCTTCCGTTCGTTTACTAATATCTTCTACATCCAAATCAATGGTAACTTGCATCTGATTCAGTCGAATACGCAAAATTTCAAGTCTAAAACTACCAAAAAATGAGACATTTCTCCAAGACAGTTTTAATGATAATTTTAACCCTTTTTAGCAAACCACTTAAATTTTATGCATTTCAAGTTTTTCTACCATAGTAAATTTTTCAAAATCAAATTCAAACTAATTCCTTCTTCTCTAATTAACCCTCATACACTTAATTAACATTAACCATTACCTAGTCTCCTCGTCTGGCAATGGAACATGAATGGTAAGATTAAATCTGCCTGGTCTGAGTAATGCACTATCCAATCTATCGGGACGATTGGTTGCTGCTAGCACCATAACATCACCTTTCTCTTCTAAGCCATCTAAATATTCACATTTCAATCTCGTCAACGATAATTTTTGGGAAGAAAAAAAAAAAAAAAAAAAAGAAAATGCGGAACAAACAGTTAGAAAAAAAGCTTACCAAGTTCGGTAAGTAATTGTGTCAGTACACGTTCACCAACATGACTCTCATTTCGATCACCTCGATTTGCACCAACTGCATCAATTTCATCGAAAAAGATAATAGCTGGAGCTACCTGAAAAAAAAAAAAAAAAGAAAACATGAATTTAGCACTTTGAATCAGTTTTATTTCTTAAAATCCGGACAAAAATAATATTTACAAATAATAGAAATGTGTCATCTAAATAAAACACTGTTGAAAGATAACACGGCTAATTTAAGGCTAGAGTAAACTAATGCAAATTTTTTGTTAAATTTATTTGATATTAAAATAAACAATTACTGATATTGTAACAAACCTGACGAGCTCGCCTAAAAAGCTCTCGTACAGCTCTTTCCGATTCTCCAACCCATTTACTGAACAATTCTGGTCCTTTTACTGCTAAAAAGTTCATACGTGATTGTGATGCAATTGCTCGTGCTATTAAAGTTTTGCTGCAACCGGGTGGTCCATATAATAATATGCCTGATGGAGGTTTCGAAGCAAAACGTTTGAAAATTTCTGGATATCGATATGGCCATAAAATTGCCTAAAAAAATGAAAATTATTAACTATCCATTGGAAATGAGTATTACTTAACATAAATATTTGAAAACTACATAAACAATCATTCCAAATCATACTTTTAATAAATTATCTCATTTTTTAGCTGTTAAAAGCATTACTGATAATTGCTAAAAAGAAACTGAAAGTAATAATAATTTGATAGTCAAATAATGATAAATAAATGAAATTATCTACCTGTTCAATTTTCATCTTTAATTCTCGATTTCCTCCAATGTCTTCCCAGTTGACATCAGGTACTTGAAGCACAAACTGTCGAATACCCGTAGGATGTACACGCTTCAATGCAATATCGAAACGTTGAAATAATTCATTCTCATCGCCAGCAAATTCAAAATTAGCAAAGACACGATGCAAAACTGCTTTCAAATCACCACCTGTATATCCATGACTTTTTCTAGAAATATCAAAATAAAAACTGACTTTACTAGTCTTTTTTTTTAAACTAATTAATTACAAATTATTATCTTTTTTTTTTCTTCAAAGAGCTGAAATAATATAATGATTAGAAGATTTACTGAGCAATATCTTGTATTAATTCTTGAGCTGAGGATAACTTCAATTGCTTCGTTTTCAACAACAAATGTAAAATTTCCATCCTTTCAGATAGTGAAGGCACCAGCAATTCCAATTCACACGGAAATCTTCCTCGTAATGGTAAGCCAATAGTTTCCACATTACGTACAGCTAACACGAATAAGAAATTCGTGTATGTATCCATAAAACTAAAATTTATAGAAAAAATAATTGAATAATAAATAAGATATACCATAATTTTCTATTTTGTTATTTACACTTTAATTTATTCGTGTTAAGCTAATAATAGGTCGTAATATATATCTCATGATTATTTGACTGATGCAAAAATAGATGAATTTAAATGAAATATTTGTTAGATTTACTTGCATAATTTTTCAGTATATTGCTTCATATCGTCGAAATTATCCACCAATAAAACCATTTTTTGATCATAATTTGCTGCTCCATTTTCGAGGAAATCTTCAAACTCTCTCTTTGATAACCAAAGAGATTTATCTTGCAAACATTCTTGTATTATATGTAGAAATAATGTTTTCCCACATCCTGTATATCCTGATAAAATCACTGAACATGCTTCTTTTCCACTAAAATCAATAAAATCCTTCTGTAATTCAGTACAGTTATCAGTAAATTATCAACACATTGTACGCATTAATTGCTTTATTTATTGTAAATGGTAGATAAAATCCAAAAATTAACTGCAGTTTTGACATAATTTAGCTTATTTCACATAATTCAATATATCAGTGACATATCAAATTGCTGCATTATTATCCATTACTTACCGTCGATTTCTTTATGATAGATTAATTCCATTTTAAATTTATCATTGTAGGTGAACAAAAAAAAAAAAAAAAAAGAAATAGTTACAAATATTCCTAAGGAAAAAATAAATAAATAAGGTTCAAAAAAAATATATATATATAATACTAACCAAAGGCATTAAAACAACTTACGCTTTCAATGGTTTTATCAAGACTTCCTCGATTTCTCTTTTAGCATTTTCCGCTCCACCAAATTGTTCAAATGTTAGAGGAAATGAACTTGTTGATGCGACTGTATTATCAACTACGTGACAGGTACAACCCGATTTAGGTTTTAGTAACATAACAGTTGATAAATCAGATGAAATTGTTAGTATTTTCAACATTTCTGCTTCTGATAACACAATATCGAAGCAGTGTTCTTGTCCATAATAATAAATACATACTGGTAGATTGATACCTAAATATCCATTGGATAGGTAAGTTGCCATATAATCACTGAAAAATATGAGAACATTTACTCAATCCTTACTCAGTTATTACTAACACAGTGTTTAAATGATGGGTACATAAAACTTTGCTTTGTCGATATTATGATCGATATATTTCAATATAACAATTACTCTATTACCTGCAGTTATGATTAAAAGTCTATGTATAAATATTATCGATTCATCTGAATGTTACTAAGGAAAGTTATCAAAGAATACTTTTAATCATAACTGCAGCTACAATGATTATAGTTAATTAAAGCAAAAAAATCAAAATTTACTTACCGGAAATGTTTCTTCGCATAAATTGGCAAAAAATGCCTGCCAGATGATGGGCGCAACTGTATAGTTGAAACTTTTTTGATATTTTCGGTATTCACAATATTAAGTCGATATTTTACACAAATTCGAGCATTTTGAAAGAAAATATGCATTTCTTTGACCTAAATTTGGTGATTATTTATTAATAAAAGTTAATTATACATCGAAATATTACTATCATCTGAATGTTACTAAAGGATATTTTCAACTAAAAAATTTCACCTACAAAATTTATGAAAACATTAGTTTGATATAACAGTAACAAAAAAAACTGTAATATCAATTAGAAATTATAATACAAAAAATTAAGCAAATAATTTATTTTAATAATAAATATATTACAAATACAAATACCTCATCACATGGCCAAACTGTCACACATTGCGCATCATTAGCATTATTATTATTACCACTAGTAGCAATAACAGTTAGCCAGCAAGGTGCACGAGGTAACATTTGAAGTTTAGCCATTGTTTCTGGATGCATTAAAATAACATTTCGCTTTTCCCAACCAATAATATCAGGTGGCAAAAAATTTGCTGCATTTGGTAAACTTTGACTGGTAACAATCGCCCCAACATTTGGCATAATGATATTTACACTAGAGGTAAGTAAAAATTCAGCATTATATTCTTTGATTGCCGAACATTCCTTCTTAAAAATAAATAAACAATTCAAAAAGAATAATGTTAATTCTAATGCTAAATAAGTAGTAAACAATCTTTCATCATTACAGACAAAATTAATATAAAAGATAACATTTATCAGCATAGTGCATCTTTATTAAGCTATAATTGATAAAATGTAACATTCAGTAAATTAAAGAAATTAATTAATTATTTGATAAATAAAATTAAGCCATACCTGGTGTAGATCTAAATTTTTTGCATGCACGTAACAAATGCAATTCGAACATTCAATAATTGTATTCTTCTTCTTCGACATTTTTAAATAATCTTACTAAAAAAAAAAAAAAAACAGAACTTGAGTTGACAAATAAAAAATAACAGAGCTGCAGTAATATGTTTGATATAAAACAAACTCATTTAATGTAGGTAGCCATTTTAATTTCAATAATTAAAGTGAAAATAGGATGAAAATTTGCTTCTTGCGTAATTCTAAATAAATGCAAATTAAAATTAACACAAAAAATTACAAGAAATTCTAAATTTATACCAAATTGACAAACATATATCCGTTGCAGAGGCAAAAACTAATTCAAATCATCGCCTTTTACTTCAGTAAATTTAAAATTTTTGAAAAATTCTTCTGGGTGTGATATGATATTAACAATTAACAAGTTAAAATACCACCAATTTAATTCTTACAAACAATAGCATTTGTATTTTCATAAAAAATTTCAAACCTGTTAACCTAAATGAGCATCTCAACTTACCATCCGTAAAATTACACATTAAGCTTAATCTCTATTGGCTAAATTTGAATTAGCATATTCTCTTTCGTTCCTCACTACCACATTCATTAATTTTAATGATAAAGTAAAGTTTCAGCAAATATAACATAAATTTCGTTAATAACGTGACACCTTAATTTATGACATTAATTAACAGTGTAGATATACATATCTTTATTGTATTTATATTAATTTTTATGAAAACAAATTAAACATATCTATTATTCGCTTTTTTTAATAAAAAATGAAAAAGTCCATATGTCCTAATCGTATACTTAAACGATTAAAAACATTTCCCTCAGAACCAAAAAAATTTTATTAAAGAGGTGAAAAAAGAATGCTACTACAGCTTAAATTTCCCGACTAATTTATTTGGATATAGAAAAATTACTTTTCCTTTTAGTATTACTGATTCACTTGGAATTCCGAAGCACAAAAAAAATACATCAATTAGATCCTTTTTTAATGCAGACAAGAAATAATCGCAACGTCAACTGTTACTTCTGCTGCGGTATTCGTAATCAAAAAAAAAAAAAAAACTCAAAAATTAGAAATTAGGCTTTAACTAAATACTATTTAATTTTTCCGCTTTAGATCTTTTCCTAAAAAATTTCTACAATGCTAACAGCATCTTCTGTTCTCCCCTCCTAAGATTTTTTAAATTTGATCGGTTATTCCAACCGAAATATTTGAATAAAGGCAGTTTGCTTTGCTATATAAATAAATGCCCAGAGATTATTATCACATGCATTGATTCACAGTGACACGGTGACATATATTATTAAAAATTTTATAACATCAAAATAAAATAAAAAGTGAACAAAGTGACATAAAAGTGACAAAATTTCAACATTGACTGATCTTATCGGTCCCTGGTTCACTGTTCTCGTCAACTAACATAACGTTTCCTTCTACGTCATTATTTGATGACACATGAGTTGCACTGATATTTGCAGCAATTGTAGTAGTAGCAACTAAAACAATAATTTCATTAACAATTGCTAAATTTTACTGAGTTCCAAAGAAAAATATAATCTTTTTTTTTTTGAAATATATATGACTGAAGAAAGACACTTATAGCTATAGTTTTTTGTCACATATTACATTCTTTCATATTAATGTAGGCTCAATTTTCTCATCTGTTAATACACCAACTCATCTTTCGTGGATAACGCCAAGAGATCTGATTCTAAAACCCAAATGAAAGAAATGCACTTTTTTGAGCTGTAATGCTAAGTCTAATATCTTTAAAGAATTCAAAACTCGAAAATAATGAATATATTAAGACAAAAAAGTGCTTGTGACTGATATCAAATTAAAAAAAAAAAAAAGAGAAAAAAATGAAAGTATCTACTAGTTTCGCAGCTACTATTTGCAATTAGTGGCTTCGAACCACCATGTGGAGAACGCGAACGGTCACGTATCTCCGCTCCTTGAATTCGACCAGCAGACGTACTAACCATGACACGTTGAATCTTTCGATCACGAAAAACTCCTGGTTGCAACAACCTATAAATGAAAAAGATCACTTATCTACCGAATGTAACAAATTCTCTAGCATTTCCTAAAATATTTTCTTTTCATCCAGTGTAGTAAATATATTTGCTAAAGACAAAATTTACAAAACTACATGTGTCCTGTAAATATAAACCAGAAAAAAAAAAAAAAAAACCTCCTCTGAGTGACTGGTGGCCGTGTACTCCACACGTGCCGAATTCGAATCGCTTCATCACCTTGTGGATGTTCATATTCATGAAATGGTAATCGACCATCATCATATAACGAAACAATCCTGCTATTCGGAAATGGCATTCCACGTTCATCCAGAAACGGTGCTCCACGAGCGTTATCCATAATTGATACACCATCACGAAATGGTGGTATACCAAAACGCTGCTGTGTTCTCATCATCCCCATCATTGGTGGTTGCGGTGGTTGCTGTGGAATTCCAGACAGCAACCCTGAATGATCCAGTTCGCGATTTATCTTTGGCCGAAATCCCAGCCTCCCAATATTTTCTGGCGCTCCGGTACTGCTAGGTGGTATATGATTGCTCGATCCACTTGCTATTTCCGCAGTCCTTTCATTTGTAGTAACTAAAGATATATTTCGCAACGGATTCTGTGTTCCTGACTCACCAATTGCACCGCATAAGGAAGGTGCGCTCATTGATGAGGTCACCTAAAAGATGAGCGTTTCAGCACTGACAGAGGTGAAAATTGGTAAAAAAATAAAAGTTAATAAAAAGACAGCATTTTTTTAAATAAAATTACAAGATAAAGATAAACATTGAGTAGGAAAAATGAACACACGAAAATTGGCTTCTGAGAGTTCACTTTAGTAGAATGTATTACAAACACCCCTCACAATCAAAAAGTATTTTTCTCACAGAACAAATTTCTAAATAAAAGATGACATCAATTACCGAGACATCTCGAGTAGTGATCGCCGATGTACCAGGGCTTTCGAATGCATGATCATTTCCTGCTTAAAAGTGGCAAAAAAATTACGATACAAATGAATTGCTTATTAAACATTCAATAGCACCACAGACCGAAAGTTTTCAGAAACAGCAACCTAAACAAAAAAATTCTCCAATGAAGCAACCTTGTAATGCATGAGCGGGAAATGGTGGAGGAACTGAGAAATCTGGTGGCGGTAAAATGAGTGGTCCAGGCATTGTTGGTGTAACTGGAGGATAACTGAAAGCACCGGAACATTCCGGGACAAAATGCGGTCGTGGTGGTAAGGAATTTTGTGCAAAGCTTTGAGTCTTCGGAAAAACACCGTACGAACCGCGGCTGCAATATAAGAAAATCCGTAGGGATAGGACAGGAATTATGTAAGAAATTTAATACTGAAGACATAAACGAACAAAAATACCATGAATCTGACGATGAATCCAGCACCTTTGTCGGCAACGATACACTTCCTGAAAACAAAAGAGGTATAAGAAAAATTTTTTGCCAAATCATTAATAATATTCATTGATATAAATCGGAAACCTCGTTCTATCCTATATGTGGTTATTCAGGCTGGATGGATTTCATCATAGAGGAGTCACATATGATATATAAATGTAAAAAAATGAAGACTTAAAAAGAAGCTTATTATACAATTGCTGAATTATTTAATGCACTTCTAATAAATCAACAATTCTAAAACAATGGTACACCTGCACTGAAAGTTTGGTCTTTTTCATGTAGGAACTCCATCACATCTTGTCCAATGTGTGTGGCTAGTAAATTCATTCCACGTTCACTCATCAACCTCTTCAACGTTTCCATACACTCCCGTAAAGATCCTATTTCTTGTTTATGCATTTGGCGCATCTGTCTGAAAAATACCAAATCAGCAAATTTTTCCGGTATGCAAGATCTCCATTAAAGCATATATATATAAAGAGATAAAAGAAGAATTTGAAACCAAAACAAACTCCAATAACTTCCGACGATTGTTGGAAAGTCGAATTTGCTCACGATCCAATTCATGCACATCGGATAACAAATGTCGCATGCCTACATCACTTAATTCTACCAGCTAAAATGGTTGCATTAAAATGTTATAAATGGAAAGTAAAATAGTAAACGATATATGGAAATCTTTTAATGAATGGAAAAATTCTTTGAAGAGATTTTAAAAGAGCAAACAATTCACATTTAATTAATCGCTTTCCGATTCTTAAACAGAGGCAAAATTTCGACCCAAAACTGAGACACAATATAGATTCAAAAAGAATAAATCATTCCCCTCTTCTAACTGCTTCGTTTCAATTTGCTTTAAAATTATAAACAGCGAAAATTCGCAAAAAACATTTTATAAAGCATACCACATCTGGTCCTGGAATTTTTCGCACGCGAAGGGAAATTTGTTCAGGTGTCAAATGTGGATGCCGATAATCATTATCAGGATCAAATTGTTGCGGCACATCATGTTCTCGATTAGAGTGGAAATCCCTTTTAAATTCTCTTCTACGATATTCAATAAAACCATTTCTCCTAAAAACTTGAAAAAATAGAAAAATAAAGCACACATTAAATCTCACATCTATTCTGAAAGTGAACTATTTATCACAGTTACAAATGATGGAGTAAGACTACGAATTGGTTTTATACAAGCAATCACGAAAACATCCAACCAGCATGTCATTCCGAATAAGAACAAAAACCTAATTTCTCTATACAAACGCATGAATTATAAAAATTAAAAGCTAACGTAGCCTCTGATTGAGCCACATGATGAACAGCATCTTCCGCTTCACCATCACTATCGTCACTGATTTCTCCGGAGCTTGAAGAGCTAAATCAATTACTTAATTAAAAATATGATAAAACTACATGATTAAACTGCAAATTGAGAATGGATAGTGTCGTTTGCAGTATGATAATTCGAAGTGGAATACACATAAAACTGAATCATTATAATAATTCACAACAAATTTAACAGTTATCAAAAATTTTCTTGAACTTCTTCTGTCCTTTCTTAATATTTAATGGAAAAAAGCTATGACATAATTCTTTACTTAACAACCATGAAAGAAAAAATATCCCTTTCATTACGGACAAAATTTGAAAGGCATATAAATGTAGAACAAGGAAGTGATTCAAAGCGCAGGTAGAAGAATAGACCTTCTCATCGGTAACATCTAGACTGACATTCACAAAGGCAATTATAAACAGAAATATGTATATATATATATATACATCACACCACACCATACCACACATACGCATTGTTTGAATAGTAGGAAATAATGATATCTGATCACAAAACAAAACGAAAAATTAGAAATATAATCTAAAAACCATACTGGATATTAAAGAGAAATAACGAACGTTGGAATATCTTCGCAGAAATTTAAAGAGTGCTGGATGTATAAACTGAGCGATGAGAGTCTAAACTAAAAAGATTTCAACCTTCTGCACCTTGTTGGCGTGTTGTGAAACCCGTGTTTGGTCATAGTCACAGTGACTCGAAAGCGGCAAGGTTTTTTTTTTTTTTTTCCAAGCTAATCGCGTTACCAATTATTTGTTTAGTTTTGGATTTTGTTTAGGCATTCTTCCTAATGACGACATTTCTCTCCTCAACTTCAATATCCTCTCTCCGGAAGCAAAAAGTAAATAAAAATAAAAAATACAAATTTCCCAGTCTTCCTAACAAAACCAACTTCGAAAATGGTTAAAATCAAAAATATTTATCTGTGGGGACTACCCGCATGGCGAAGCTGATGGCTTCTCTATCGCAGTTTTCTTCTGTTTATTTGATCCCATCACACTGGCATCTGAAACTTTTTGCAAACATTTAATAGGTTAAGAATAAGTCAAGAAAGAATACATAAATGGGTAAATTTTTGAACAAAATTTTAGAAGATTAATAATAACAAATGCGCGTCAAATCGTCACTCGATGTATGGTATTTCAATTCTAGAATTTTAAAACCACGAAAGTCTTACAGCAAAAAACAAAAAGCTGAATTCCGCATAACCGTCATTCTAACTAAACAGCTAGCTCACTACATATATCCATATCCAACATGCACATGACATGTTTTTAATCACCAAACTCAATATAAACCCGCGTTGCTTGGAAGCTTCAATTTTATCCAGAAGACACCGACATAATTGTTATGGTATGTACTATTTTAGCTTAATTACGATATTTTTCGAATAAAAATTCAAAAGGAAAATATCAAGACTCATCACCATTTAAGCAATACATTTTTTCTCCATTTAAAGGAAACCACTTCCTCATTTAAATTACAATTCATTTTCATACAAAAAAAAAAAAATGTAAAACCATTGAAGTTTACGCCTACGCGAAAAAATCTCAAACATTTACAGTAAAGCTTATCTAAAAACTGAAATACATTAAATATCTAATTTAAGTTCATCTTATTACAAAAAAGTAACAATAAATTGGATGAAATCTAAAAATGAAGTACTAATTTTTTCAAAATAAAATTTAAAATTCCGTTTCTTCTGGATAAAATCAAAAAAACACACAGAGAAAATCTCCCAATAACCATTTACTGTATACAATCAACACAAAAACTCTACCGATCGACTCTTCTGTATCGCCCATAATAATCAGCTTACAGTATATGCAGAACAGGGACGTGACACATCAAATCCGGAACTTTATACGCTACGTGAACTTTACACGTTACGCCACCTTTACGTTACGCCAACCCGAACAACACAGTGACTCCTCTTCAATGGACCTTTCCTCCCTTTTTTTTTCCAAATTGCACGAGGAAAATCACAAAAGGAAAACTTCACCAATTATACCAATAACAAATTCTCCATCTAGGAATCAATACATCCGTTACAGCTCAATTCTCTAGTGGTCCTAACCAAACTCGCAGAAGTCGCTAGTGTGGGCAAAAGATTAAAGGAAGAGAAAAGCTTTTGGATAACAAATCCGGAATTTCTGCTATTCAAAGTTCCGGAATCTATGAGACAAAGGCTTTTTTTCCCGGAATTCAAGAGCTCTTACTTGGCAATAGGAAATGATGCAAACATTATTTTCACTAAATTATTTCTTGAGACTTTGTGTAAATATTTAGTAATTTTCGGAATATCTTTTTCGTCTCTTATTTTCAGAAGCTTTTTGATGAAATTTAGTAAGTTGATTCGAATTTCATACGTTATTCAGTATTAAAAATAAAATTAATTCGATTCTTATAAATTTATACTGATTTAGGAGGTTTTTAGCATAATCAAAATTCGATAAGGGTTAGTGATAAGATTTCAATGAGAAAATATAATTTTTTTGTTCATTATGGAAAAATCCTTCACCTTCTGATGTCGAAGTAAGTTGATTCTCGCAATTATCGATACTGAAATTACACAGGAATATTACAATAATTTTATTAACAGGTATAGTAGTATAATAGAAATAGTTTGTCGCAAGAGAAATTAAGCGACGAAAAGGTAATAGAATTAAAGGTTGTTGAAGAAGTAGAATCAACTTCATGAATTGGATGATCAATTGGTGGTGTAAGATGTATGTATATATACTTGTCAAGATGGGAGTGGTTTACAATCATTTGGTATATCCGATCGGATACAAAGCTCTGTGAGTGGTAGCTACCAAAGCTAAATGAACAAAAAAACTATGTTCAGGAATATCTGATGCAATAGACATGGAAAACCAGAAATATTCGTATGTGTGTATTGGCTTTCGATATTTTAACAATTATGGACAAAGATGGGAATGTGGTTAGATTCAAGATAAACAAAGAAAACAAAGGAAGGAGATGAGAAATTGGCTAAATGAGGGATGAGGAATTAGGTAAATGATTTATCGTAATATAATTTGAACGATAGTGTTTTTACATGGAATTGTTTTTTTATTATGATTTATTTTAGATTCATGATATTCGAAATTCGCAACGCTTTCGGTTGGAGAAATCAATTTTTCGATCTCTTCCGACTTCATATTCACTGATATTAGATGTCTAAAGTGGCCATTTTGATTCTTTGTTAATTAACCATCTTTAACTTTCTTTTCGCTATGATTCAAAATTTATGAGTTAAAGGAGAGAAATAAACTTTTCCTATGGTAGTAACATTTGCTACTGTTTTCACTTGGAATATAGCGAAATGAGAATTTAGTATTTCGTATCTGTGTCCAATATAAAACGCATTTGGAATTGAACAATAAAGTGATATCTATATTTTAGAGTTCCATTTGTTTGGTAGCAAGTTAGACAAAGAGTGCATAGCTAGTAATTCAATCTTGGAATAGTCATACTTTTGATGAGAACAATTCCAGATTTGGTGAAGATCAGGAAAGTTTTCTTATCTTGAATAATGTACACTAAAATAACATATGTGACGTCGGAGGAAGCATTGAATGTGAATCTTTGATAGTTGTGATGGGCCAGCCACGACAGGTGACACCTCTTGAACATATCAGTTGTGTTTTGTTGGTCTCGACTTCTTTTTCGAAAAGCACTGAAGAAGTAATTTTATCAGCATTAGCCTTGGGATAAAAAATCCTAAGGGTTGTGAAGCTATGAATTGTAAAATCTTTATTTTAGTTGGTTCTTGATCATTCCAAGGCTTCAAAAACTGAATACTATCAGGATTTGAGTTAATACCATGAATCTTTTTATTTTGACATTCTTCTGCTCGATACTTTTCTCAGATTGTTAAATTTTCTATCATTTAAGAATTTTCTTACATTCATTGGAAGCATCGCTGAAAATAGTTTTCATTTTCCTGTATTTGCGAAAAGTCTCATTGCTATCCTTGGCTGATATTATGTCATAGGCGATTTTACTTTCATAATTTGCCAAATGATAGTTAAGAATAGCTGTTAATATTCAAATGAGACTCGTTGAAATCGATAATGTTTACCTTTATCATTTCGATAATGAGATTGCAACTGATCAGCGAATCATTTCATCGCACTTGGAAATGCTCATTGTTCTGAAGTTATTTAATCAAACATTTTAAGCGACTAAAACATAAATTAAGTTGTCGTTTACCTTGATTTCTGTTTTTTTCTATACCAAGAGACTTAGTATTTTCCATTTTTAACAATGTTTTTCTGAAATTTCATAATACTGTTCATTATCATGAAAATTAAGCTATTCTTGTATACGAATAAATTTCAATTTCCAGAATCGACCTATTTCTGACATATCAATACTAATAGTTATAATTAGTAATTTGACCCTAATTCTGAAGGTCACAACAATTAGCATGCGCTAATATTTCATTAGAATCATAGAACATATTGTTATAGCATTTCTACACTTTCAGTATCATTGAAGCCAGTTTGAGAGTTTGAATTTTATTAAATTATATAAATTTGAATAATTGACTCTAATAAGTTAGATTGTTTTCAGCATTCTGCTTTTTCCTTTAGTGAAAATTGATTTGAAATATATAATTACATCGCATTGATTTATGATAATTACTTTTACTGCCAATTACTTTTTTTTGATTTATATAATTACTTTAGCTTCGACAACACTAACTTCGATAGAGATATATCCAATTTGCATCTTTATTACAATCAATATTTGAGGTTTTCTAAAATTTCATTTTCTCGTTGTCATTTTTTGCAGGTTTAATCGATTTGCTAGTTTTGCAGGTTTAATCGTTTCTTGGATATTCAAATTAATTGTAACCTACGAATGAAACTACAACTTCCTTTGTTATTCTTGGCATATCTAAATTTTTTTAACACTTTTTGTTTAGCTCATATACAGTAGAGAGTAAAACTTTCTTATCTTTCCGATCACATTGGTTTATTATTGGGCTGGTTATCTTTGTAAAAATTAGAGAATTAATCAAAGTTAGCATATTATATCAACTTTTCATTCGAATTACAGATTTTTTTAGTTGTTAGTCAACTAAATTCGAACCGAACAAATTTGTTATTCTAATTTTATCTATTCATTTTATTCTACTTTTCAGATTTTTACCACACAAATTGATGCATATTATGCCATTCGGCTTATATGCAATTGCATTGGGGAAAAGATCAGTATGAAAGCATGATGTGAAATTGAAATTTAACTTTCAGAATTTATGACGCTGTAATTGTATTTCATATTTGCTAAAATATATCACCGGAAGTTTTCTTTTTTTTTTTTCGTTTTTTCAAATATTGATGAAAAAGTCAAACAATTTTTTAGCAAAAAAAAGACAACCAGGCGGGATGTTACCGAAATGTTGCTGCATAATCGTTTTTTGGATTTAAAAATGGAGATTTGTGGAATGGAAGAAAGGAATATAAACATTTCAACAAAAATACTTTGTAATTATCATTTCTACCAATGTAGGGGAATAATGGAAGTTTTTGCTGAAGATAATGAGTTTTGTTATGACATTAGCAAGAAAAAAAATTTATAGTGCCACATGTCTAATAATTAATTTTTGATTAGCAGTTTAAAAGAAAAAAGTTTCAGTGGTATATTTTGCTTTGGTTTTCAAAAACTTTACAGGTTTGTAATTTTTAACCTTACCAAACTCTGGAAAACATTTACTACATACCCTTCTATTTTTGGATAGATTTGCTAAGTTTTTATCAAGTTGTATTTTTCCATCAGTAAATTTTTAATTTAAAAAAGCTGTTTATTTTTTATTTTTTTTCGATTAAACGAAAATGAACCTTAACGGTATGTTGATATATATTTCACGTGCATGAAATATTAATATGGATTCGGTTTAACTTCAACACTCATCATTTTTAGCTATAATAATGTAAACAGGTCGAGAATATAATTTTATCAACATTTGAAATTAACAACAATATATGGAATAAGGCAACAACAAATGGTAACATTACCAGAAAATAGTGGCATTCTACTCGAAGCATTTTGAGAATTGATAATAGAAAAAGATTTCCAGCTTTCTTTGATGAAAATGCCTTCAAGCAAGTAGAAGCGTTGCTTCAGATATGTTACTCATGAATACCGGTAATAATAAGCAAATAACATTGGTCATAAAAATTTTTTCGTCCATAAGTATCAAAGTGCTTGTGAAAAAGATGATTTCTTGAAGAGAAATTATAACTTCAGAAACATCAATTTGTTTGCTAAAGAATTTTCTAAGCAAGAAGAACTGTATCATAACTTCTTTTAATACATATGTTACCACACATGTTTTCTTGCTTAGAAAATCAAAATATTTATTGAAAATATTTGTGACGGAAAATAATAAATTAAAAAAAATAGAAATTTTTTCAAAATAAGATCACCAATTATTCATTTCTTTTCGCTTTGCAGCGGTAACTGAAAACCAGCTCGGATTGAGGAAACTGAACCTTTCGTCTTTGCTTTTGGCCCCATATTTTTACCTTTACTTTGTTGAAAACGCAGCAACGAATCCATTTTACTTTTCTCTAATGCTTCCGGATGTAGCCGAAAAGTGATTTCATGCCTGGAAATTATGAGGAAAATTTATTTGGCTCATGAAGATTTCCACTAACCACTTTAGTGAAATATCAACAATTTTAGTGTAGCATTCGAATAATAAATACTTTACAGATATGGAACAACCAAAAGTTGTGAAGAAATTTAGAAAAAAAGAAATTCCAAATCCTTTATAGTGTGCACAATGAGACACTACTCTATTTAATCTAATTATAAGGAACCAGCAGCTCATTATAAAGGCAATAAATTAAATTAGAAAAGTAATTATGGAAACTTCATTATTAACTACATATTTAAAAAAGCTATCGTATAAAAATTGTTTAAAGAAATTCTGCTTACTTTATTTCCTGCTCCAAAATGATTTTACCAGCACATTCCTCCGTAAAGCGATCGCTTGTAACATTATTATTTTTTGCCTGTAAATTTAAATTATGTGCGAGACAATATAATAAACAAAACAATACCTAAGAAAACAGAGGAACTCTTTCGAGAAATTTTTTTACAAAAGAATCACTGTTCTATTTCAATAAAAGACAAACCTATGTTCCATTCTTCCTTACTATATTCTAAAAAAGTATTACATTCTGCAACTAAAAGAATTTGATCCCTTGTTACTACTACCCTCATAGTATTAAACTCATTTTTAGCCAATGATCAGCAAAATAACTGCTATCAATGATAAATATATTTTGAAACAGAGATAAACGTGTTAAAAAAAGTTTTTTCTTTTGAAGCAGTACACAAGGAATTAGTTATCAATTTATGGTTTATATTAACAATTCATAGAAAATCTTACTTAAACAGAAAGAATTTATGATAAAAACCACATTTCCTGTATATTTTGTTAGCTATATTCAAAAGACTAATATGAAATCGAATTTAGAAGGAACAAATATAAATCATATGCTAAATTTACCACAGTTCGGGCAATATCCCATAAAAATGATGTTGGAGCATCGGTTTTGATTGCTTTTGGATTGCAATGTGAAATGGAACAGCGATAGCCAGCATTCATGAGTGCTGAACGAAAGTCAACTGCTTTTGGCACTGCTGATTTCACAACATGCATCAATTGATCATATTCGTAATATAGAGGAATATCTGGTAGTTCCTGTAAAATCGAAATAAAAAGTACTGCAAATCAAATTAATTTAGTTACTTATTAATATTCCAATCTATTTTTACTTTTTATTGAATTAATACAATTATGCGATCTTAAAGAAACAGACAGAACAATTATGAACTGTAAGAAATGAACAAAAAAAAAGCTCCATTTTCAGACAATTCCATAGCCACACTGTAATCATCAACAAAAATTAAGACTAGAAACTTTCAAATAATCAATATTCTTCGATTATTCGAAGCAGTGCGTTTTTAGGTAATGAATACAACTTTATGTCTGACTCAATCGTGCACTGATGTCTTAAAAGGAAAGGCACATGATACTTTTTGTCTTTACCGTATTATAATTAAAATCGTATTATTTTATATTAATTGTGCTTAGTCAATGAAAATTTATTTTGTTGCTTAGTGAATTATTAAATTGCTTAATAAATGAAAAATTAAAAAAGAAACTTTTAATTAACTTATACTTATTTGAGATATTTAGTCTGAAACTTTTAAAAATAACAAAGCAAACTGCAATTTAGCGACTATTATATTTCTAAACACCACTATTCGACATGGTAAAATTAGCGATATAATACTGATATCGCTTAAAAGAAGTTTTTTGGGCATTCGATAGCATAAACAAATCAAAGAAAAAAAATTCAACCTCAGCAATAACACTTAAAACTCCAACTGTACGCAAAAATGTTTCGGATCGTTTTTCTTCCGGAAGTGCTTTTAACCTACAATTTTAAAAATAAACAATTTTTTACAAAGTTCGAAAGTAAAAAAAAAAAAAAAATTTTCCTAAAAAAAAAACACTTCACCTTTGCAATAGTCTATTTACAAAGTGTTGATTATGTATTGGTGCACTATAGATTGGACCAGCCATATGTACGGATTGTTTGCAATGCACGCATTTTCCATCCTTATTCAATAACGACACATCAAATGTTTTCGGAGTGTATTTTATACTATTTCCGTTTTTTATTTTTTTCACAAGTGGTTGCAAGTACAGTGAATGGCATCCAGTACATGCAAATACATGTGATACTTTCCTGAATTAGTTGTTATTTTAAAACATTTACAAAAATATTCGAAAATAAACTGATAACTGAAAGGAAAAGACAATATACATTATTGATATTATCTATTTCTGGACTTCTCTTCCTATCAATATAATTTTAATAAGTTCAATGAGATCTTTCAAAATCAAAGCATATATCTGTACAAAGAAGTATTACTTACATTACACTATCCTTGGCAATAAATGCGCTTGTATGTAATCTAACAAAAACTCGTAAATAATAATCGATACTTAATGAAAGTAACGGCTCGATATACCTTCCATAACAATTTGCATGTGTATCAATAGCTCTCAATAAAACACGAATAGCCTAGAAATCAATCGCTGAAATTCTGGTCATTTTTTTTGGATATTACATCGAAGCAAAGAAAAAAGTTAAGCAATAAATGACTAGAGTTTCATACAAATTATATATTCAAAAGCAAACTTTTTGTGCTTGTATTTCAGCAACTAGCAATAAAGCACCAAGAAAAAAAAAAAAGACAATGGAAAAAGGGTAAAAACAGTTCCGGAATCTTCATACTTTTCCATAAAAAAATGGCGTTTAAAATTAAATTCATTCGAATTTGTATTTCTAGTCAATTTGACCTAATTTCATTACCATTTTTTTAAAATTCGAAAGTGCCATAACATACATTTATGAAAAAAAAAAGAAAAAAAACTGAGAAAAGAGAAAAGTCAAAGTAATATGAACTTACGAATTCGTGACAACTTTTATGTCGCAGGCCAACAGAACCATATTTATTATAACATGACTCAGGCGTGTTACCACATAGTACAGCCATATCTGTACACGTAACCATTAAAATACCTGTAAATAAACGTTCAGTAAAGAACAACGAATACTATAATAGTTGAAGATTGCGACAAAAGTTAGAACAAAAGTAGTACTAATGAAGCTTCCTTAATGATACTTAATTATATAACTTAACTTTTCATCACATGCTATGCAATTCACTACCCTTTAGGTATTATGTAATTAATCTTTTTTCATATTCTGTTAATAGAAGAACCCAAAATAATCCTTACTGTTCATAGAACAAAATTAAGGAATTATCGACTGTGAAACCAAAGATAACGGCATAAGTGTCGTATGTGATATAGTGCAAAGATGGAATGATCAACTTTAAGTATATATATATATACTATGCCTACAAATTAAGAACCATGATGCCTATGTTCAAAACTTTCAATACGGGAAAACTATCTGCGAATCATTTAATTTTTTACGATCTTGATCTCAGCTAAATATACTAAGCGAAATCACTTTGATCACTAATAAGATGTAAAAAAAAGAAAATTATCTTGATAGTTTATATTAGATTTGAAAAAACATCGTCAAAAAGTGATATTCCTGGAAAGTAATTTTTCAGTCCACTAATATTTGATCTGTCTAATTAACTAATAAACATATCTTCTATTATATTTAGCCTATTAACAACATGAATGATATCAAGAAAACCTTTGTCCGTAACAGCTTGCACTGCAGAATTGAGAAATATTGATGCTGAACCATATGGATCAATGTCGATTGCATGAAATCGCTTATCAAATGAACGGTTAGACATCATTGCATCGCTAAAAGAAATGAATTACTAAACAAATGCGACAAATTAAAATTAAAGAAGTATATATCATAATCCCAAATATTTCCTGTAATATTCATTAAGTATTAATTATCAAAAGAAAAAAAACACAAATCCATAATATTTACTGGTAAAAGCTGGAAATTTCAGATTAATAGCATCCCATATGTGCTTATGCAGAATAAAAAAAAAAAAAAAAAAAAAGAAACGAAGATTTTTCGAACTGAATTCCTTATCTCGTCTTACTCACAATACATAGATGTCATGCTTTGCAAATGATAATAAGGCTATTTGTAATACCACCTGAGAAATGCCAATCTTATAGATTGTGTTTTATAGCATACGTTTAAAGACATAATGGGTTATCACACCATCCATGCATTTCATTATTTATTATATTGTAGAAAAAGGTTGAGATTAGCTTTATCTTCATCCCTTAGAGTCTCAGTGACCGAGAATAAGTCTACTAGAACTAGCAGATCTTGATTGTTTATATTAGACTTGAAAAAAGCAAATCGCTTAAATGGTATTAGTCATAAAACTTACACCGCATCACCGCACCTTGATTCTACAAGATTCTGAACACCATTCATTTCGATATTTTTATTCATCGAACTTACAGCTTGTTCCGAAAAATCATTTGCAATTATTTTAGCTACATATGGGACCTGTAAAGTAAGGTTTTTCAATGATATATTATCGCTTTATTATTAAAATGAATATATTTTTCGCATAATCGAAACAATTATAGTTCTTCACCTCTTTGGCAAAACGAATAGCTCTTAAACCACTTGCGGATAACGCATCCAAAATACGTATTTCAGAATCCTGCAATAGCAATTATATCATCATTACTACTTTTGAAGAAAAAAAAAACTTTTAAAGTAAAATATGAATCTGAGATTATCTAAATTAATACAGATTTAATGTGTAATTCCATTCAATCACAACTTTCCATTAAATTCGAAATTTAAGCCTACATCACGGACTCCGAGTTTTCGTGATCGTTTTGCTTGTGGCTCTACATCACCATTTTGCTCATTGCATTTCTTTTCTTCCAATTCTTTTTTCCGATCTTCTACGAATTGTTGCAGTACCAAAATTCTAAAAACACATTTATAAAATTAATTAAAAATTATGCGTAAAAAGCAATTAACTACTTTGCGGATTAAGCCATCTTCACAGTCCCTATTCTTACTTTAATTTCCTATTATAATTTTTTTTCTATTATAAATTTCTAAATTTTTTAAAATTTGTTAATCACTGGCGTCTTCTTACTTACAACAGAATATTAAAAATGAATTACAATAACTTACGTTAAATCACGATTAAACTGTTGTGCAGGATTATAAAATGCTACAGTTGGGCTAGAACTATCTAGCTTTGCCGAACCTTCGATAATAAAATTAGAATTATTTGTATCATTATCATTAATTGAAGTTGTTATTTGTTCTATAGCCAGTTGATTTTCTTGCCTTACTTCCATATCCATTACTGATTAACTTACTGGTGTTCGCAATTCCTGCAATTACACTTTCTTCTTTTTTACCAATTAAACAACATTACTCGAAACATTAAAATAAAACAAACATGACAAAATACTTACTTAAATTACAAGGTAGTAAAAAAAAAGCCTGCAACAAAAGTAACATAACTCTGGCCAAGACCTTTTCTTATCCCTAGCTCAATTTATACTCGAAGTCCATCACTGGCTTAGTATTACTTTGCAATAGGAAATCCATTTGAAAATGACCCCAGGTATTAATAACACAACTATATTCTGCACTTATAAATTACCCTAAAATTTTTAAACTTAGAAAAACAAAGCAAACAAACTCCAAAATCAAAAAAAAAAAGCAAAGATGCAAAAACAACCTAACTCCAAGCACAAGTTAATTTTGATGATTTTTCCTGCTCGCTAAAAACACTTATATATTTCCCAATAACAGTAGTATGAAAAATTCACAATATCATCTGCATAAGTGCTTAAGTTGCATCATTTTTATATAATCAAATTACTAGACAAAACAAATCATTAAAAAAAAAATCTTACCAAATAAATAAATGTAAGTACAACTATAAAAACTATTTAATCTCATTGTGAATATTCATTTCAAGGAAATATTGACACTTTACTGATGAATTTATTTAATCGATAAATAACTCAGCAAATGTTACATAAGAATCACTTTTTTAAAAGAAAAACCTAAATTTCGAAATATTTAATGAGTTTTATCAAGAGAAAGGTATGTCCTTAATGTAATACAGTCATGATGTGACCACCTTAATTGTTCAAATATCTATCTCAATATTCAGAAAAGTTTAGGGTTGTGTATATTTTGAGATAATACTTTCGCAATATTTATTATAACAAACCTATGAAATTAAAGTGAACAAGATATTCTTTAAAAAAAAAAAAGCACGAGGACAAAGATTAATTACATTCGTATTAATTACTGTTAGATTTATAACTAGTTTGAAATTGCATTTTGAAAAAAACAGTACTTCTCAGTAAATTTATCGTAAAGCAAAAAAAAAAAAAAAAAAAAAAAAAACTACAAACATTTACAAATATAACAATATGCAGCGTTTTATATAAATTAGTATATATGCAAAAAAATTAAAAAGTATATATGTAAAAAAAGTAAGGGAGAAAGCATACAAAACATACTGGCGGTAAAAATTGGATAATTTAATTACGAGTTTGAAAAAAAGATTTACAATTCTTTCATAGCATCAAAGATTTACATTGTTTTCTTTTTATATAAATTCAATTTTACATGCTTCAATCAAATTAAAGCTCATTTATATACATCGGTTTAACGCACATATTGTGAGGCGCTACCAGAAGAATAACTATTAAGATTTACAGCATGAAATTAACAGTAGTAATCATCAATCATTATGAACATAATTTCTTGAATTAATAAAAATAGCAAAGATGACAGTTGAAGAGATAATTTATATGAACTTCTAAACTGTTGTTCTGAGAAGTCACCACACCAAAAAAAAAAAAAAAAAAGAAAAATTAAATAACTATGATGAAAATAAAATTGTAAAAGAAAAAATTTCCTATCATTTTTCAAAGATATATTAAATCTATAACTATCTGCACAAACACTCTAAATAATATCTAATTATTTATTTGGATTCATAACCGAACCATACTTTTTCCTCGCAACTACCCTCACATTTATAGGTTATCATCGGTACTGCTTTTCGAGATGAAAGTGATAAACTCTTTAGCTGCTCACCACAATCTGGACATCTAAAAATAAAAATAAATGAAATGAAACTGAATAAATGTATACTCGTATGTAGTATGTAATCTGCCATAAAAATTCCAGGAACTACAATATTTGCCAATTCAACCTCATGACGTGTAGAAATGAAAAAGAAATGCTTGTATATAAAATGAAAAGAAAAGAAACTCAACCGTCGGAACAATTTCAATAAGTGCTCATCATCGACCACGAATAATTTTCGACTAGTTCCCCTGATTGTATCGCGTTCAGCACCAGCTTTTAATATACGGACATGATTCGAAAGATCATTTTTTGCACATACCTTCGATGTTCTGAAGGTGACAAAATCACTGCTGGAAAATCGCATCGACAAAAAAAAAAAATATTAAGTACGATTTGTTGCGCATCATACACATGAAAAAATAATTAATCGCAAAGAAATATACAATAAACTCCACTGAATACCAATTCATAATTTCGAAACAAAATAACTTCAACAAATATTTCAAATATACCCTCTGGAGATTGTAGAAGCAGCAGGATTTATCCCAGTTTCACTAGTTAATGTTTGACCACTGAACACTGTTTGATTTATACCATCAAAATCATTAACTGGTTCGCCTGAATCTCTTGAAGCAAACGAGACTTTTCCAGTTTTATTCTTGAAAAAATAAAAAATAAAATACTTTCAGGCAAAGTTAATCAATAATTCCAATAAACGATTATCAATTAGATTTGGTTAAGCTGTCCGTCCAATTAAAAAGATTTTTAAAAGCTAAAAGCAATTAACCTTAAGACAAAATCATGTATTTAATAACTTTTCAAATGTAGGGCGTTAAGTAATACAGGATCCATGAAAATGAAATAAAAGATTTACCAATTCTGATGTACCTTCCATTACAACCCTTGATTGCTGAATTTGTGCTCTCTCTTCCGACATTAACCCATCTGCATCCGGTACTTTCGCAACATCCGATATAACTAAAAAAACTACTAGTTCTATCATAAAATGAATAACTGTACCGTAAAAATCCTCATATTTATAGTGGAAAAAAGAGAATAATTTCAAAACGTACGAGTCTGTGATTCATCTGTTATGAAAGTAGAGCTATCTCGCCTTCGTCGTGCAAATGAACATTCGTCATCTGTTGGTGTCTAGAGATAAGAACTAATTTCGGTTACCAAAAAAAGAAAAAAAAAAATGAAAGTTTCATTTAAGGCTAAAACCATCTTATTGGCTCAATAATTCATGTGTTTTAGATAAGAAAATGTTCCAAGTTTTTGAGAGAATTAACATTCTTAAACTTGTTCAATTTCCAGCAGTAATGAATACAACAGAAATGAAATGTATTGTAATCAGAAATGAAGAAAAAATAAGATGCTAATCTTCGTAATAAAATATCAATCATATTTTTGGTCTAAGTGATATTTAACAAGAAATTTCAGGAATATTCAGGATGAATTAAGTGGATTAAAAATGAAAACAACACACTTGAGCACCATATCGTTCTGAAACGACTGAACTAGTACGAGAACTTGGACGTTTTAACTGCCCATGTATCCTTTGTTGTATTTTCTCTAAAATTAAGCGATAGCTTGATTCAAATACACAGATATTTTCAGGCTAATTTTCTAATAAACCTGAAAATTTAACATTGAAAACTAAAAATAGGAAAAAAAAAAACTGAGTGGAAATCTGCCTCTGAAGAAATGAAGCGATGTAAACCGTTACTAACTTTCGTAATTCGTTAATGTTTCTCCAGATGACCTTACATATGGATTCCTGTCCTGAAATGACCTTAAATCAAATGTTTATGTGAAATATGTGGTTACCGAAAGTAAAACGGAAGCGAAACGAAATCCAAAAAAAAAAAAAATCCAAAAAAAAAAAAAAAATAGAACTTACATCATCATTTCGTGACTTACACTTGACTTTTTTCCATTGTGGATGCTGTCTAGAAAGTTGCGAAGCCTTTCTTGCCTCCTCTAACAGAGCTCTTAGGTGTCCCTCAAAAGAATTACTTTAATTCACTGCAAAGAAAGACGAAACTCTTCTGTATTAAATTAGGTATATTGTAATATAAGTAGTGAAAACAATTTTATAAATTACACTTTCAGGAATCTAGCAAACATCGATTCGAAATTTACCAATTGATGTTAAAAGATAAACTGGTTTTACCCTTGACCAAGCTTCAAAGGGAGTTAACATTTCGTCGATCACTTCTTGACGACTTTCCCGTTGCATTTGCATAGCTCTGAGCTGTGAAAGAGGTACTGGTTTGCATTCAGGATGATGTGATGGAAATGGTTCGCCAACGATATTGTCATGGACCATTTTGATGATCGGTGATGGATGACCACCTTGAACCTCACGTCGTGATAGGTGGTCACACGTTGAACAACGATAATAACTGTAGTAATTACGTGTCGTTGATCTACGATAAATTCGTACACAGTTACTTTGTTGCTCTTTGATCGCTATATTGCTCAAATTTCCGCGTAAATTTCGTATCACTTCATAAAGTCCTGGTCCAAACCTGTATCTTAGTTTGTCACGTGAATAAAAATTTGAGGATATCCAATATCTTAAAAATCGTAAATATGAGAAAAAATCCTAAGAATGAATCTTAAGAAATTATACAAAGCTCTTTGAAAAAATACATTTGAAAATGGCATCCTTAATTAGCAAAATGTTTATAAACTGAACAGTAACAGAGACAAAATTTTAAGATTAAAATATATATTATTTCAATAACATAGAAACATAACAGTTAAATCTTACACTACCACGTCTTAAAATAGAATTTTAAATGAACAAAAAATTGCAAAGAATGATTTGCAAAATTTTAAATTTAAAAATTAGTATGAAGAAAAATACCAACTCTTTCGCAATACGCGGATCTTTTTCCACAGTATTCTCTCCATTTTCCCTGTCGTCTTTAACTTCATTTTGATTATTTGTCTGCCTTGATTGTGACAATTCAGAACAGTGTAAGGTACGACTCCGTACTGATGCTGTCGTTACCTCGTGTCCAAGAATAACCGATATACGATCGGCTGCTTCCGCGAATGACAACTCATTTTTGAGTAATTTTGTCATAATTGCGTTCACATCAGGCCTTTTCCATTCCTCACTAAAACATTCCCTATGATATGCTGATCTAAAACATTAAAAAAAAAAAACTGCCAAAAGTATCATGTATTATCTGATTAATTGACATTAAATGATTTAACTTTCAACTGAATCCTGTATTTCCCGCTTACGATAAAAGATGAAAAAAAAATAAAAATTAACATTTTCATTTCAAATACGCTTATTAACCCATCAATAGTTATTAAACTCGCCACAATTTTGGAAGCAACTTTTACTTCACTGTTTTGAAATTTAATTTTCACAACTTTAAGAAAAGAAAAAACATGATACTTGAGTAATTTCATCTGTGTCTCATATTCATGTTCATCATCTTGCCATGCAGTTCCCGGTTCTTGGAAATCCTTAAAGTTTGAAACTTCATCATCTGTTCGATTTCGTCCACTCGTTTCTGTTGACATTGAAGAAACCGTCTGACTATCAGCAACAGAATTAGCAGCAGTAGCAATTTTTGTACCTAATCCTGTATCCTGTGCTGTTGTGCATACTGGTGTTCGTTGTACCGTTTGTGAATTTTTCATTTCCATTTCTAGATTTGAAAAATCAAAAATTAATAAAAACTATGACGTTACAGCACTATAACAGTATATAGTATCACAAGTCACAAGCAATATTTTTTCAGGAAAATGGCAGGTACCACAGGAAAATTTCGGCTGCTTAAAGTATTTAAGAATGTTACAGAAATTAAGCTATAGATGAATGATACCATGTTGATATACCGTGAGAAAGCAACGGAACGTATGGGAACACCATACCAAATTTTTCAGTTTGCAAGAAAGTTTACTTGCTCCAATACTACTTTTAAATCCTTGCTACACATCCTTCACTTCTTTTTTATGTTTTTAAAAAGTCACCTTTTGTTCTGTCTTTTAAATGAACTCCATGAAGTTTCATCCAAAAATAGGTTTAATTTAAACCCAAATTTAAGAAGCATTTCACTAGGCAAAGGAATAATTTTATTTGTAGTATGTCTATACAAGCAATGAAAATATAAAAATTTTAGAATCACAAGCAACACCACGAAAAATTCCGTACAAAGTAAAACAATTCTGCACAAAGTAATAATACTACAAAATATATTAAAAATGTTGCCCACGTTTACACTTTAATAAAGTAAAAAAGAAATATTGAGAATATATAACAGCATACAAATTTTCAGAATTAGATTTTTCTTGACTTCTTTGAAATAATTCCATTCGCACACTATCCACCATTGTAAGGTGTATTTGCGCAATTAGCTTTTATACTTCAAGCTTACCTGCTCCCATTTTCGTTTTCATTCCAATTACTTTAGGCAAGCGAAACATATTGAAATTACACTTTATAATTCTTTTTTAAAGAAATATTAGCAAACTAATCCATTTTCTGTCCAAACCATACAGTTTGCTCACATTTATTACACTGATAAGCAACTGTTGGCATTGGTGAGTCAGCATATAATGTCACTTGCTTCAGCTTTTCACCACATCCTGCGCATCTACAATCAACATGTCCAGAAAAATTAGAAAAAAAAAAATTATAAAACAAAACCAAGGAAGGCAGATGTGTACAAGAGAAAATGGGTCCAATACACAAAGTTTTCAAATAACACACTGAAGATTTAAAAGAAAAAACCTTTTGAATAGTTGCAAAAGTTGCTCTGCTTCAACCATAAAATATTTTCTGTCTGTTTCAATGATATACTCTTGACCGTCTTCTACATACCGTCGCTTAACTGATGCACTTTCGACAAGTTTTTCTTTGTATGCAGTAGCTTTTGTAGAACTTGGCCTCAAAAAAGAAAAAGAATTAGTTATTTCAATCAATATTAAGACACGAGCACTTAAAATTTTCTCATTAAAAAGTAATGAAGAAAATAACAGTGAAAAAATGACTGAAACGCACAAAAAACATTACTACGCACATGCTCGAGCGATGTAATCCAGCATTAATTCGCTGATAATTTAGCTATATGGAATGAAACGACAAAGATGTATCTATTCATGCACTTGACATTCTCATGTAAATGAAAAATGCAAAGTTCACACATTTCATATCCACCCTGTTGTTTCATTTTTGAAACCATCAGTCAAAAAATGACTCGAGATTGTTTGGAAATGATAATTTTGCGATATATGCTGATGTCGCTATATAAAGTTCTTTTTCACTCTGGATACAATACTTTCTTGGAAGTTTTATTCAGATTAGAAACAGAAAAATCAAATACTATTTTGTACGCTTACCATTTACTACAGAATACAAAAAATGCAATACTGCAGAAAAATAAAGAAAAAGCACCTGTCAATGCCACCATCCAAGTTATCGTCTGAAACCAATCTCTCATCAGCAGTTGCTGGTGGTGCAATGTTTGCCATCCCTTCACCAACAACAAAATCATCTTCATAATATGCTTCTTCTGGATTACCATAAGAGTCATCATAATCTAATGTCTAAAATATTCTTACAATCAGCAAAAGATCTTGCACGAACGAAAAATTCTAAAAGACTAGAATAGAAATATTATTAGGACAGAAATACAAAAGTGATCGCTGGTAGAATGTAATAAAATGGATTTAGAATAAAATCAATTCAGCAGGAAATAAAATGAATCTTAAGTGAATTCAGAAAGAAGCAGAACTTCAAAAAAGCTGAAGAAAATAAAACATAAAAATTAAGTGAAAATTAAAGAATGGAATTTCGCACATTCCTTTTTGATCACATGGCGAATTCTCGTATAGTAATCAGAACTGTTAGCAACTACCACTGTTTTATATATTCTGAATCCTAACATTGTAAGATAACACCCAAGTTTATATAACACCGACAGATAAAGGCCAAATGAAATGCTCGATTCTGAGAATAAGGCAATAATTCAAGGATAATGTAATGAATTCATTTATAAAACGAGCTTACTTGTTCTCTTTCAACCCATTCTGTAAGATGTGATCTACTAAAGCTGGGTGGCTGAGTGGGCCTTACACGAAAGTATTGAGGAAGTAACATCTGTGTGTCTATCCTTCCTTCAGTAGTACCTGAAATATCTTGAAAGATGTCTAACAATCACCTCTTTTACGTTCTTCATTAATAAAACAATTTCATATATACATAACTTAAAGAGATTAAAGAGATAGCATTAGTAATTTCTATTGCATATCAAAGCAATTATATTTATTGAGAAAATCTACGACAAGAATGGCTGCTATATTCTACGGATTGATCAATTCATAGATTAAACTAAGATTCGATACGTTTTAAATCATCAGTTGCAGATAATCTTCAAATCTTTTTACCCAGTTCATCCGTATCATTTTCGATATCGATGTCTTCATTTGTCATTTCATCCGCGATTATAACATCATTTGCAGGCCTATCACGCTGTAAAACATTGCTCATGTAAAACTTGATAAAACTCCAATTTTGAATGAAAACATCAAACAACTGATTACAGGTCTTACCTACCGGTTATTTTCTCGCACCTATGAATTTACAAAAATTTAAAGACTAGTATTGCAAATATGTAATTAACCTTCCAAGGCTGAAGAACTACACCGTTATCCGGTGAGTATGTGTATTCGCCTCCATTCAGACTTCGAGTAAATTTCCAAGTTCGATTGCAGGAACGATCTGAAAAAATTTTTGCAATGACTTTTAATCATATATATCATTAAATATGCGAGAAATACAAGTGTATCATTATATGTTAGAAATTGGAGGTTTCAATTGAAAATAGAAAACTTTAAATCTTGTTCCGTCCTAACAAACAGAAAAATAGCAAGCAGAGAAACGGCTCCTACCAGGCAGTGCATAATCATCTTCGCTTCCTTCCCAGTTGCCCTGGAAATTTGTGTAAATGACATATCAGGTAATATTTCGTAGTAAATAATATATCTTATCTATAATGTATAAAAACAGGTGTTTCAACATTAGTACATATATAATGTAAATCCTCCAGGTATCTTTAATGAGTAGCAATACTACTCACTAAAGAAAATCCGAAAAAAGATCAAATTAATTAAAAATGAAAAATTTTAAAGAAACGGAGTCGAAACCTACTGTGTAAATATCTCCATATCGCCCACCTTTACGCCAAGGAACATTATTGGATGCAACGTATCGCATACGTGTAATACGACAACGTGGACACTGCTTGATGAATTGCTCAACATCGCTTGTAATCGAGTTCCAATAAAATTTTGTAGAAACCATTTTACGTGTGGCATTCAGGCCACCGTGATTTGATTCCAAATGAGCCTAAGATGAAAGAATGTCAGCTGGAAAGAAAAGATCTCGAGCAGATTTTCTCAAATCAAAATTCATTTTCACTTTTCCAAAAATTATCTACCTTTTTGTTGTGAACTAACTTTTAAATTTAATTTAGCATTTTATAGATTCTAAAACTCTTAATAAGCAATAATACAAACCTGAGTGAGGATTTTTTCAACCTCATTCTTCTTCACAACAAATTGTCCCACTGTTGAGTGATCTGGCTTGAATCCTAAATTCTTAAAAAAACTTAAACACAGAACTCTTAAAAAAAATATTCTGTTATGTTAAATGGATTTTCCTCCGTATTATCTACAAAAGATAAAGGGGGATATATCGATAATCTACAGTAAATATTACATGTTTGAATGAATTTTAACCTTCAGAAATATAAAAGAGCTATTCAGCTTAATGCTGAAATAGAGCTGACTATTGAAAACCTTGTAATTTAACATAAAAAGCGGTAATGCAGAAAAGCTGATAAGTCTTCCCAAGCAAACCTCGAATGAACATATGAGATTTCCGGCATATCCTAAATGAATCCTACACCAACAAAAAATCTCAGAATGACTCTCTTCTTCCCCTCATAAAATAACCTAGTAAAAATATCAACACTAACCAATATAAATCAGTTGGTCAGTTCCCTCAATTAGTTGAAATCTTTTAGCTTTTCTTTTGAAACAATCAATACGATGCTTTAAATGGCCCTGAAGTCGTTTAGGAATTTCTTTGTTACGGTGATATCGTACCAGCTCCTCATAAGCTTCAGTAGTAAATCCACCATATGCACATCTATAAACTGATGCATTTAATCTAACAAAATTGAAAATGTTGCATTTTTTTTTAACGATCAACAGCTGAAATACATACTGTGGAGTTTCACAGCTGAAACTGCATAATATTGTGGCAGTACTTCGAAACAGAACATTCAATATTTCGGCAATAACATTTCACCACTCATTTATCTCATATCGTTGCACTGTTACGTCAGCTATCAAACTTCAAAAACAATTTTATAAGTTTGTTTAACCAAAAGCTTATAAATTCAGACTTCTTCTCATCCGAATTTGAATCGGTCATCAATGCCACTTCCAAATCTTCTGTTTCTTTTTCATACTTCGTGCTCATTCTGCCACCATCATCACTCATTATTTACCGGACACCTGTAAACAAGCAGTATCTCACCGCGCCTATATAATTTGCAATTACATAAATCAACTTTACGCAGTATTTCGCTTCATTTCATCCACTAATTATTTTATTTTGACACATACATGCTATCTCATTTTTCATGTGTAAAGATTCACAGAGAAACAATATGGCTGTCAGGAAGAAACTTTCGAAAACATCAAGTTTAGTAATAGAGCCTATTTTCAATGACACTATTTTTATCTTATTAAGTTACAAATATACCTGAATAGTAATGTCATAAGCAGTTATAGCAACATCAAAAAACATCTGCTTCAAGTAATATTTCAGTTGTATCCAAATATTATGATGGTTCAAGTTATACAAACTTACTTATAAGCAAGTATAATGTTAATATCTCTGTGTTTATATATTTCTACAATTATAAAAATATGGTAACGTGTGATAATAACTGCATCAAATCAACAGCAATGAGAAATGGTTACCTTCGTGGTATTTATCCGGATTTCCCGCATGTAATGCCACTTGATACATCTTTACCATACGTTAAGTTACATTATCCCCGACATAATCGCAAGCATTTGACATGATTAATTCTCGAAACGTATAATTTACAGCAAAATGCCCACCACTCTTGAGAACGTATCTACGGGAAGGGAGAACTTTTAACGGGTTAAATCCCACGATGGCATCATTAAATAAGGCTTCTGGCCCGCGGGAAATCCAGCTGCTTCAATACCATTTGTTTGTTTATCTATGCTTCGGGTGGCGCTTTGTCACTATTTGCTGACGTAAACTGCGCAAAACACGTAAAAGTCACGTTCAAAACAAAAAAACCCTTCCAGCGCAGATGAATTGAACACGAGAATCGACCATTTCATCACGTGCTAGTTGCTGAGCGAGTGAAAGAGACGCATTGAAAAATGTATGTCCCAATTATTTGCCCAACTCACAAGGAAGTTATTCCATCTTAATTCATGTATTTGGAGCATGTTTGATAAGAACGATATGATGTAGCGGAAAATATAGGCCATTCCGGTTCATTCTTCCGGTTTTCTATTTCGTTCACTTTTTTCTTTTTGTTTTTCTTTTTTATTTAATCTTTTCCAATCGATTCTTTGAATTGTTGACATTTTTTAATTTATGTATTAAGTAAATCATTCATTCATTCAGTTTTATCTCTATTATTAAGCAATTTTTAGTTAAGTTTCCCTTTTTTTTTTTCGAATCAGTTCATCGTATTAATTTTTTGATCAATTGTTAAGATCAATTTTTTTGATTAGAATTTCAATTCGTTTTTTTCCATCACTCCTATTAATCTATCCTTTTAACCGATTTTTCTTTTCCCATTTTCCATAACTTTTTTTTTTTTTTTAGTACTAAAATATTATGTCACAATTTTAGTATTATAAACATTCGGTGGTTGCAATATGATTGCTACTTTTATAGCAATGAAGCAAATTTTTCAAATGTTAGAATATCATTTACGCAGGAAAAGGGATCACATTTCCTGCATTAAAGGATATTGGATTAATTTTGGATTATTTCATGAAAAATTTTACAATCTTTTCTGATATACTTTTTGAAATTTAGTCGTTTTTATGATTTCCTTTGGATAATTGTGCTGCTGAACATTATTTTTTTCTTCTTTTATTCTTTATTGAATATGTTATTCTCTTTATAATTTCCCAAATTATACTATTGATCTTTGTTCCTTTTTTTTTTCTCAAATGAAACGAAAATAAATTAAAAGGGTTTTTATTTAGAATAAAAATACTGCATTTAATGATCTCTTCAGCTATGGGCAAAGCTTTGCATATTGGCCTTTTTTTTCAAAAAAAAAAAAAATGAACCAAACGAATGAACATTAAGTTTTTAAATTTCATTTTCGATAGATTAATTTGTAGCTCTTTGGATTGTTATTTCTTCTCTACTTTGAAATATAATTTTTGTTAAGAATACTGAGAAATGTATCATAGATGGATCTCATCTTTTGCAAATAAATAACTTAAATTCAAGAAAATTATGTAATTTTTTAAATTCTTTTCCCTCCTCCTACCTCTCTCTCCCTCTCTCTCTCTTTCTTTCTTTTTATTCTCGCATACACATACATTGAAGAAAATAGAAATCCGGGATGAGGTATGTCTAATTTTTTTCAGGAAGATGACCGAGTTCGGAAAGATAAACGGAAAGACATAGTTCATTCTTGAAAAGTTGAAAAATAATTAAAATTGGAAAAATATAACTACAATAAAGTTAAACTCACCGAAAATTGACAGTAACAGTAAACGGAAAAGCTGATTTAAAAAAGGAAAATGTAAATAAAATTGATTATGCAATTAAATAAGTACAGTTAAGATCATAAACAATTGTTTATTATGCGATATTCTAACAATCAAATGAAATTTAACATATTGAAATTTTGAAATTATTCAACTTTTCATTTCTTTGAAGAATTACAGTACATATATTAAAAGTTTTTAAATGATGCTATACATAGCTAGAAGCTTACTTGAAATAAGATGATGTGATGAACATATGACCATTATTAATTAATTAGCCTGAACAAATTTAAACAAATAGACAAAAAAGTTTGGAAAAAAAGTATCTTTTGAAATTTTGTTTTTTTTTTTTTTTTTTTCCTTAAATTTTAAATTTTGATATTGAAAAAATATTTGGCATTACTGTCTGAGAAATTATTGATGAAATAGATGTGTATAGTAGGAGATATTGAATTTTTAAATGAAAAATAGGTACATATTATTACGATTAACTCATATTTTATGATAGCGAAATAGTGAACCACGGGGAAATTCTGGTTATAAAATAGTTCTCGGGTAATGAATGGGGAAAAGAGAGGAATGGGAAGGAAGAGAATGAAATTGGTTCATCTGCAATAATCAGTGCAAAAGATAGGGACTAGCAGTTTTCCATTTTAAAAAATATGGTGAAATTTAATAAACAAAATTTAATGCAAACTTTATTTAATATTAAATTTTCAGTAGCTTTATTAGCATTTATGCTTTCAAAATTTCTTATCATAATACTATGAAAGACTTATTGAGAAAAAATGAAATGAATCAGAATTATCTTCATTAATTATATGAGAAGAAAAAAAAAAAATCAAATTTAGTCAGTCATATCAAATCAATTAATCATATATATATAAATCAATCATTCTTTTCATATATGAGACAAAAAAAAAACACTTTCATCTAAAAAGTTAATTTGGAAGTGAAATAAAAAAAAAAAAAATATTTATGAAAAGATAAGAGCGTATCCTAGTGTGATAAGCTGATAAGGAAACACTGTATTATTATAATAAAATTATTAAAATAACACAAACATTAAGCAATAAAATTTTAGGAATTGAAAATGATTCAAATCTTATAATGCATTTTATTTATGCAAAATTTTTGCAACAAGAAAAAAAAAAAGAAAACATTTTTCTTTTTTTGGCTAATAATAAAATGAAATTAGAAATTTATTTAATTTGAAAAAAAAAAAAAAAAAAAAGTAAAAATGTTAACGGTTCAACCACGTGCTGTACAAATTCGTGCATCCGGTGGTAGTTGTGTACATAAACTTATTAATACAAGTATGGCACGTTTAGCATTTAAAATTAAATCTACTAATAATGATGAATATCGTTTTAAGCCTATTTATGGTTTCATTGAACCACAAAGTATATATCCTATTGTAATACGAAAATTACCTGGTCAAATAAGAGAGGATACTTTTATTATACAATATGCTGAGGTTATTATTGTTATTTATTCTTTTAACTTTTTTTTTTTTTGATAATAGTAATACATTTATTGTTTGTTCATTTTTTTCTTTTTTAATTAATTAAGAATATACGTCTGATATTACATAAGCATATTATTTCATTCTATCTTTGTTTATTAATGTTTTCAAAAAATTCTCTTTTCTATAATTTATGTTTATTCATGTAATAACAATAAGTTTTATAAATATTTTATGAAATTATTAGCTTTTGAATACTTCATATTCATTGCGTTGAAATTTGTTTAAATTTTTGCTTTTTTTAATGAAACTTTTTTCCAACGATGTTTTGGAATGTTGAAACAATTCATAAGTACAAAATCTCGAGAAATGATTGTTTTAAGAAAATTTGAATTTTTTAAGTAACCAAAGAAAGTCCAATAAATGACTTTATTACACCTAACAATAGATACAGTTTTAATTGTATAGGTAATTTATAAAATCTATGATTTAGGTAACAGCTGATTGTACCGATGCAAAGGCACCATTTAAAGTTGATGCATTACAAGGTGAAATAATTGTATATGCGCATTCGGTGTGAAAAAAGATTTTTTTTTTTTTATAAATCTGGTCTATTTTAAATGATAAACCATGCGTATGTATCTCATGACATCTTTGATACATTTTATTAATATTATAAACAATAACATTTTCATATTGGTAAAAAAAAAAAGGAAATTTGACAATTTACTGATCTCAGATGTCAAATTTCACAAGCAATCACAACAGATACAGTCTATGGAATGTATTCCAATTCATTGCAATTTGAAATGCAAAAAATAATTTGAGGAATTCTCAATCAATTTGAAAATTTTTTTTTTTTTAAAGACATAACATGAATAACTATTGTTGATGGTAGAATATGAAGATGATTGCTCTAATAACTCAATTTTTAAAACTTAATCATTGTTCAATTAAATAATTAAATGATAATAACTTATCTCAAAACGTTTGTCACGTTTTTTCCACTGATTACTGATATAGCTAGTTATTACGAAAGATAAGCAATACTTAATAACTGTTAAATATTGAACACTTTTTGTGACGGAGATGGAGAAATGGAAAAAAAATTAAGGGAATTATTGCCCAAATAAAAAAAAAAAAAAACTTACATTTCCAATGATTATTCTGTTTAGACTGCTTTCGATAATTTTAAACGCCCATATGAATATAGTCGAAGAGAAAGTCCAGCTTCTGAATTTCAATAGTTAATAACTTTTATACCATTTTTTTTTAAAAAAATACCCTTATCATTTTTGCATATAATATAAAATGAGCAAATAGATAAGATGAAAGAAATATGCTTCTGATCAGCGATGCGAAGACGAACAGCTGCCTATCCTAAAATGCAAGATGGTATAACGGAGAAAAGATAAATTATTTAAATTTGAGAGATAAAATATATTTTGTCCAGTTAACTTGAAGCATATGCGCGATATCACCGACGTAAATCAAACATTATGTTACATGTCAAGAAAGTGTTTGAATTTTCTTCATTCAAATTTGATACAACAACTATTTCCTTCATTAGATCTAAGAATCAAAAATATATTCACAAATATACAAAACACCTCATTTACCTACCCCCAAAGATACTTAGAACTTTGCATTCAGATGTATTATAAATTCACGAATTACCCAATTTGAAAACATATAAATAACCAATCAAATTTGAATAAACTTTAATTTGTATCACTTTCGTCGTTATCCACAACAAAAATTTCAGCTTTTTGAAAACGCTGCCTTGTAATTTCCAGCAAATGTTGTTTTTTATCCTGCTTTTTCGATAATTCAAATTTGATTTCATTTTTGAGTCCAAATCCAGCACGGTTAGGACGAACTTCACTAATCACCTGGAAAGTGATGAATGGCATATATCGCTAATATATACCACAAAAATTGTTCGTTTGCTAGAAGTTGAATGAAAATCAAATATTTTAAATTAAACAAAAATAAAAAAGAATTCACCGGCTCTGTAATGCCATCTTCTTTTCGCCCCAAACCAGTGCCTTGTTTCCAACCCATTCGTTGAAGCATATTAAATCCTCGATTGCTTTCGTTTAACACTTTTGTTGATGACGGAGGTATATTTGTCGATGCAGCAATCATTCCTAAAATTTCCACTGAAATCTTTATCACAATAAATGCTATGAGAATGGTTTGAAATATAATTTTATTAAAGTCTGTCCTGTAACTATTAAATGAGAGCTACCTGGCAAAGGTTTTGCCGAACAATTTGCATAAATTGATTTATCTTTGTCTTCAGTAGTTCTATCCAACAAATTTCGTTCCTTCTTTTGATACTTGCATCGGTAATGCTCTTCTCCATCCTGATAAAAAAATAACAAAATGTCCAATTTAATTCATAGATTTTTAAAAAAGTGAAATAAAAAGGTAAAAAAAAAATGCTTAAAAGGAAAAGTATTATAAAATACAAAGTAAAAAAAAAATTGCATTGGTTGTGTTAATTTAAAAAAATGGTTTTCTCACAAATTAACTCCTAGATGAAGTTAAAACTGAAAACTTCAGGAAAAAGTGATACTTTAAAAACATATAAATAAAAAAGAACAAAAAGACATGAAACTATGAAGAAAAGAAAATTGAAATCGAACTAAATAGAACTTACATCAAAAATGCCATATTGTTTCTTCATATTCCGCAAATTTCTTCGTCTTAATGTCTCTTTTGATATCTTCCCAGCTAAAGAATTATTATCAGATTCCGGCAATATGATGTGATCATGCTTTATCAAACCAGGTTCACATGAGCCACATGTATTCGTTCCTATAATGATTGAAAACCCTAGACGATAAAACTAAATATTGATTACTACCAAAGAATTCAGGCAAAATTTTATAAGTTCCTTTCTATGAATCGTCATGGTCTTTCATTCTATTAATAAAGAATATGATAAAATTTGGTATAATTGTCGATGATGAAAATATAATACAATTAGGAATTTCACACTATAAATGAAAACTTAAGAACAAGCCATCTCTTGTTCGTATTATAAAAATTTTACAAAAAGATGTATAATTCTATTCGTTTAGTCAATTACTCGAATTCATCATTGTAACATTCAGTAAAGTGAAACAAGAAAAACATATTATCTACTTCTCTATTTCTAGCTAACACAATAAAAGTAATCCATTTTTTAAAATAATAATAAACTTTTTGTAGCTACTAATGTAGTACTATTATATTATTCCTTCATTACAATAATCCAATTTTGTTCTTGGCGTTTTATTTTGTTTTTTCTTTTTTTTTTTTTTTTGTCATAAGTAAGTATATGGAAAAAATTCTAATAATAGAAGACCAAATTTCATACCGTAATGGATATGAGCCAAGAATTCTTGTTCTCCAAATTTCCATTCATCGCCATGATCTATTACTATTACTTCATCCATATCAACTTTTAGTTTATTACGAAAAACTTCTGAATCATTCCCGTTGACTGTCATGAAATACTTTTGCTCCGTTTCGTTGTAATTAATAACAGCACTGCACTAAAAAAAAGATAAGAATAGCTCGAGACTATTCAAATTAAAAAAGAAATGTGAATCAATACATATTTTCCAATATTATGCAAATAAACAAGTAAAAACATTATGCGAATAAAAACCTTATGTAAATTGAAGTTACTACTCAACAAAATATTGCTAGAAGGTGAGGTAACTATGTTAGTAGTCTTAATATCGCACATTACTTTAACTCTTATTCGAATTCAGTTCATTATTTCAATGTAGAGAATCATTAAAAGAAAAAAAAGTGATAAAGAAATTCATGATTACTAAAGGAACTGACCTATCTAGGCTACTAGCAAAGACGATACTGTGTAATAAAAAAAATATCTTTTTTCTTTTAACACTATGATTAACGGATTTATTGGAAAAGGTGTTAAAATCAATAAAAATTAAATTGATTAAAAAAAAAAAAAATCACTTCACTCGTTGAAAATTGCTCTGAAGATAACCGGATTTCACAGTCCAGAGTGGTCCCAATTTTAGCACCAGTAATTGTAACTACATGCAACACACCACTGGCTTTTTCAATAATACGCACACATGGAGCATAATCCATTCTTTCTCCTGCAAAAAATAAAAGTAAATCAACAAATAAAAATCAATAAACAAAAAAAAAAAAAGTGGACGAACTAAGGGAAATCTCAATCATTTTGAATGCAAAAATATGATGTTATACTCAATACATTTAAAACTTTTAAAAGATAAATCACCTATGTAGCAGTGCTCATTTTTTATTTTAGAATTTTATTTTGAGTATTATATTATTAGCTTAATAAAACTGAATTATCATGCCAAATGTTTGTTATAAGACGTTTACAAACTTAAATGTGGACATAAATTTCGAGGAGGGATTCTAGAAGCAACCAGAAAAACATTAATTTATCAATTTAACCATATGTTCCTACTAAAATACCATATGTTACGAAAAAAAATCCACCTTGGATATGAGTACTTATCTCATCATCCAATATGTCACAATCAACGCTGTTCCTATCAAATATCTGCAAAACAACCTTCAGCAACGAATTCAAGCACTCAAAGACATCTACTTCATCCTGCGTCATGCCTGCAGCGAATGATTCTCCTGCAAATTATCCGAACTGAAAGATGGTTGATTAGTTGATCAGAAGTTGAATTGATCAGAAGGCATCAGAATGAAATTATACGTCTTCCAGAATCTATACTACTCGACAACAGTAACAAAATCGCATTATAATTACAACCGGATGAAATCATACTTAGAAATTCGAAAAGTCTGGAAGGAACTAAGAATGGGAAGTAGTGTTCTTGAGTGATAAGAAGTCAAATAAGCATGAGGTATAGTAATATTTAATGAAAATATACCTAACATCGCCACCGCTTTTCGCTCAGCCAATTTATCTGTCCAAATATGCTCACAGGGAATTCTTGTATAATAAACGTAACTGTCTGTTTGATTATTATAATAATAATAACAGTTTGTTGACGGATGATAAAATAAAGCAGTATTCTGAAATCATAATTATATATTTAAAAATTTAGATTCATAAAGATCAAAGTAATCGTGATCATAATCATAATCATAATAATGGAAATGATATGTTATCACAATCATAAAAATGATCATAATTATGAGAACAAGAAAATCACTGTTAATACAATTCCAATTCACAATCATAATCATGATGATGAGAATAGCATAAACCATAATTATAATGGAATAATCATCTAAGACTGCTACTGAAAAAGTAAGCTTTGGAAATCAACACTGTAATTGTTGTTATGATATTGCACTATAATTATAACTGACTGTTGTGATTGCTAAAACAGAACGACAATATAAACATTGTGATTGTAACTATGAATGTAATTGTAAGAATGACAAATTGATGTAAATGTGATACTAAATATATATTGATCAAGACAATAGTGATTGATGCATGGTGTGAAATTTTAAAATCTAATCTTATAACTCTAATAAATCGTTTCAGTAGAGATATGTTTCACACATTTTATGAGAAATTCTAAACTGTTAAAT